GGTTGAACTTAGTTGAATAATAATAAATGTTTGTAGAAGGTTTGTTTCGAACCATCTATTATCAAACAACAGAGCATCAAAGAAAACTGATATTGAAGTTCAAACTGCTTGATTTCTGCATCAAATTAGAAAAATAAATAATATTTGTGATCATGTTTGAAATAAGGCTACTAAAATAGATTAGAAGAAATACTAAAAACTTTCTTGCAAATTAGAAAGATTCTAAATTAGAATGTATTAACAAAAGCTTAAAAAGTTATTTCCATTGTTAGAGTAGAATTTTCGATTCACAAAATAAATTGATCAATCTTATATTTTTTTTGTGAATTTGTTTCTAAAATTGATTTCTTTGATGATTTATAATTTCTATAATTATTAATATTAAAAAAATAAATGTAGGTCTGATAATTTTGATAAATAAGAATAAGATGTTACAATAATATTTTAAGTACTTTTAATAAAAAGTACTCATAAGTTTCTACTTAGATTAATCACAATTATTTTAATCGAAATTCCTTGATTCATACAAAAACATATTTTTACATATTGGCCCTGATGAATTACTTTGTAGTTTGCATTAATGTTGTCATTTTTGTTTAAGATGATTATTTCGCTCCTTTATACATTTTTTAAATTTTTAGTTCAAAAAGTTTGTCAGGTATTAATTCATTTTTAATATTATAAATCTAAATTATAATTGTTTGTTTTAATACAAAAATATATTAAATCCTAAAATACAAAGTTTCAGTAAGATAAAAGAATTTATTCTATTATTATTTGAAGCTATAATATCAATTAAAAACATAAAATAAAATTTATCGATTCAATTCTAAATCAATTGCTTTATGATATTTAATTCAATTCTATTATAATATGGATAAATTTGTTGAGTTTATTAATTTATAAATTAATGAATATTATCCTTATTTAATCAATTGCAAAATTAAATTAATTTCATTTTGACTTATTCAAGTTAATATTAATAACCAATTCATTTTAAAATCATTAAGTAACATTGAAAAAATATGATTCAAAATATTCAAATTTGATAAAACTTGAATCAAATTTACTAAAATATCCAGATTCATATTTAACTATTTTATTAACTTATAATGTTTATGCTAAGTCAATAAACATTCTTATTAGGACAATTCGTTGCAAGAACATGGAGATTTGTAAGTTTGACTTTAACTGTATGAGCTGCATGTTGCACAAAAACCAGAATTAGTTTAAGTGGAACTCCATCTTGAAATCATTAAAGTGTTAGAGTAGCAGTTTGTTGAAGAGAGATTTTTGGTATTTGTACTTTCAATACAAACACCAATTGTTTACCATTAACATAAAGTAACATTAGTAGCTGATAAGGAATTTAAAATATAGGTACATTATTATTTATTAGGAAAATTGTTACAGCTTGCGGCCACACAAGAAGCTGTTGCTGTTGTTCTCATTGGTTGATTACCAAAAGAAAAAACAAACATGATTAAATTGTTGACATTGCTATTAAGTTGCAATATCTGAACACAAAGTAATTTTAGTACATTTTTAGTTATTTGGGTTATATTAACAAATATTATTGATTCTGTTCTTATTTAACTTTTATTTTATTAATTATTAATTCTAATTTAAGAAAAATCATCATGTTTGTAAAACCAAAAAAACATAATTGTTTTGTTTTTCCTCCTACAGTTCCTTAAGAAGGTGTAACTGAACATTGATTTGATGTTGGTGTGTAAATATACTTTTATTAAAATTGTAAAAATGTTTTTGATATTTCTGCACAATAAATTGAATAACTAGCACATTCTTTAGAATTAACACATTCTAGATTTGAACATGATGAAAATGACTTACATAAATTTTAAATTGCTGACCAAGAGCATCTTGAATTTGAACTGCAAAATTCCTTATTAAATAATTTAATTGCAAGGTTTATTATAACAACTTGGGGTTGTGATAGCAGTTGACCAAGAACATTAAGGATTTGTTAAACAATCATACTAGTAAATTAATTAGTTACAAGTGCATTATCCAAGTATATTTATGATATTCATTAAAAATTTAGTATAGCCTATAAATTTATACAATACCAATTTTTACTAAGTGTTGAACTATTTTAAATTATTGTTGGAACCCATCTATAAGTGAATCCTGTATTTGCTGAACATTAACTGAATTAAGCTCTGAAGATGTAAATAAATTAATACAAGAGGATTTTATGTATTTGTAGACCATTGACATAATTAAATTTCTCCAATATTAAATATTGAAATTACAAACTTGCATGACGCAGGTGTTGTAAAATTAGCACAGGTAAGTTATTAACATTAATTATTTGCATAATAACAATAATCAGAATAATAACTGCAAATTTGCTAAATATTTTTTTAACTACATGTTGTTACACTATACATGAATCTGTAATCTATGGATTCCATATACATATACCATCAGATCCGTAAGTACCACTACAAGTAGATGGTGACATTGATCCACAAATAATAGTTGTGGATGAAGTACAATTTGCTCCATAGTAACCTCCGCATTAAGAAGAATAAGTGAGACATTGTTAAATACTCAATCCTACTCCACTGATTGGATTAGATGAAGTGAAATTTTCATAAACACTTGTTATGATATTCCATCCACAACTCATTGTTCATTGTTTATGTACAAACTTAATTGCTAGAAATTTATGAACAAGGTTATTGGGTACATATGTTATATATTCAAACACAATATTAACTTGTGGCATTATTACAATCGCTCTATATGAAATATAGAAGAGTAGATTTGATTTCTTAAATTTGTAATAAATTAATAACCCGTTTAACAAAATTTTTTATATAAGCATATTAATAATATTAACCTGTTGGAAAATTGTAAGTAGGAATCGTATTAGCAGAACAAGAATAACAAAAACCTCCATAATTTGAAGATTATGGAAACCATATTGCTGTTTTATTTTATGAGGATAAGATAAACTCAACACATCAGTTATTTATGTACATACATTATTTTATAATTGACATACCTGAATATAATTTTAGGATGATAATTTCATTACAAAAGTACATTTATTGAACTATGGATATTAGTATAGAGAATACTACAAGTTAAAGTTAAACATAATGTAGCATCCCAATAACAAGATATAGATCTTATTTTGGATGCAGATTATGGTAATTGATGGCAAGAATTGACAGCCATGCATTTATTGGTTGAATTATTCCAATAACATGCTCCATCCCTTCCAAGAGATGTAAGACAGGATGAATCTTAAGTATTTGCTTCACAGTTATTAAGATTTTCAATAATGCAATTAATTCAATTACTACCAACGCAATATACATTTTATTACATACATTCAGTTTAATTCTTTCCTGATAAAGTAGAGCATTGACCATTAAATAAGTTACACTAACTGTTGTTCCAATAACACCCTATTTAGGAAGCACATACTTTGTATTAAATTATATTTGAAAATTGAAATTATAAGCAAGACCCATTATTTCAGTAACATTCTAGAGCTTAGGAACAATCATATAATGATAAAAACGAACAGATACTTTATTTAGGTAGTTTGACCAATTAATAACATCTGCTACAATATCAATTGGTAGTTGATAATGTTATCCAACTATAATTATTATGAGTACTAGATGCACAAGTATTTTAAAATGCACTTGTTTTGTATTAAATTTAATTAGTTTCTAAATTTAAATTTAATTAAAATAAGTTTATCAGAGGCTTGTCCGCATATATTATTACTCCATACACATGGAATGACTTCAGATGAGAGTGGATTAGGTAGATATAATTTACAATTTTAATTAGTTTTTGAATGATGATCAATTAATTTAAGAGCACATATTATTAAGATTTTTCCATGAATAAGAAAATTGATTTCTCAGACACATGGTTTCATTTGTGGCTTAAGTACATTATGAAAATCCAATAGATTAAGTAGTTTATTCAGTTGTGCTCAAGAAACAAACTCCATCAGTACCGATATTATTATAACAATTACCACTAGTTGTATACAGAATAGCACCTGGGAAAGATAAAAAATTACCATAGCTGATTCCTTTACATGAAGCATTTATATTGATACATTCTAATTAATTAGTTGCTGTTAATGAAGAATAATTAGTGATTGCTTAAAAGTTTGATGTTTACAATTACAATTAAATAGTACCACATCAAACACACATTCCTGCAGATTTATCGTTGGCCCTCCATCTAAAAGTGTTACTAGTATAATTAAGACAGGTTTATGAAGTTTATAATAAAGCTGAATAAGCATTTTCACAAGCTCCTTAAGGTCCTATTGAATTTTTCTATCTATACAATTCGTACTAAGTTGATTAAAATTAGTACAGGACATAGGTACATCTTTTATTGTTTGAAATAGTTGAGCAGGTCAATTATTAGGATAATGAAATCTTTGCATCCCACATGCATAAATTCAATTTCCACAAATTGTAGCATCAGTTATGTAATTACAGTATTATAATAGTGAACATGAATAATTAGAGTTATTCCAAACGAAAAAGCTTTAACTACTAATAAATTAAGAATAATTTATTTATTGTTGTTAAATACTTCAAGTAGAAGAAATAGTTGAAGTATTAATACAATTACTTTGTTCATAAGCAGCACATGATAAACCTAATGCAGCACATTAAACTGCACTGACCTTAAATATCAGATCATCACAACTTGACAAAGTTTGACATGTATTGGTATTGAAGCACCAATAACAATTTGCCACGTTTATACAAATATTTTATGTTGTTATTTTGGAACTTGTGCTTAAAGTACAAGTTTAGTTTATGTATTCCATTGTCATAAACTATTCTAGGAATTACAATCAGATTGTAGACATAATCAGAACAAGTACATTAAGCCTTTGTTGCTAATGATATTTATTTGCAAGGACCACAAAATCCTTAATTTTGATTGCTCTGTAGTCCATACCATCTAAAACATAAACCTGTATTTAATAAACAATTAAGTGAAGTCAAATTATTAAGATTGGTAATAGAAACACATGTATTTTAAGACCATACAAGTAAATTCAATATGATAGTATTCAAAATTGAAAAATAGTATTTTCAAGTATCTTGACTTGTAAATTAACCACAACTTGTTATATCTGTGCATTAATTTTGAGTTTCATTCCATTAACACACTATTCCTTAAGGAGAATCTTGTTTGAAAAAATTAAGCTATTAACATTAATCTTTTTGCTGAGCATACTAATATTGATTAAGTACTTAACATTAATCATTAACCCAATAACAAGGTCCCTATTTACCAATATTATATGAACATATATTTAATGGCAAATCAATACAATTAAAAGTTATTTCCCTTGAATATAAGCATTAATTTGATATTTTATTAAATCCAATGCATCTAAAATTCTATTAGATGCATTATTAATTGCCGTTAGTTTTTAAGTTTACTCATGATGTAAATACTGAACATAAAGGAGGGTTTAAATTCGGATTCCATTAGAAATAAAAAGGTGCTTTTAGACAATCAGATTGTTATAATAGTGAGCAATTGTTCTTTTAACATTAATTAGTTCCCTCTAACCATATACTACATGATAATGTGGCACAATCATTTTGATTTGCTAATTGTGTACAACTAAAGATAGTTTGTTTCTTCACTACAATTTAAGTTGCACCGAAACCTATTAGAATAGCGAAAAAATGTATGATTTCATTAATTTTAATATTAATAAGTCCAAATTCGAATTACTTATTTGAAGTTTATTTTCTGTACTTTTGATTATGCCCATAATCCATAATAATTATGTATACTTTATTTATTATATTCTATGCTTTATCCTATAACTTCGAATATCATATATCTTTTTCCAAATCCATCATCCCTATTATTTCCAAGAAACTTCTATAAATTACATATTTCTTATTTCAATCACCTATTTTTGAGATCATTATTTTCTGGAATAATATTTTATACTATCGCCTAATATATATAAATTAATCATTTAGAATAAATAGAAAACAACTAAACTTTCGTTGAACCTCACTATCCATATGTTTTATGGAATTTAAATATCTAATTTTTATACATGCCTTTGAATAAAAATACTCAACTGCTAACTTCAATTATTTTTTAGATTGAACATCTCATTAAGTTGATATCATCTAACCTTAAGTTGGTCTTTATTTCTTAGCTGCCATTGATACAGTATTCTATAGATCAGAATTAAATTGACAATGCAAATTCTATACATTTATACATTCTCATCCACTAATTTCTCTGTTTATTATTAAACCTCTACTTTTTTTCAGGGAATCTGAAAAATTGTGGGATACAATTTATAGTAGCCGATGCTAATTAAATTACTGTTTAATGCAAAGAACTAATTTTTAAAATTGATATTATAGGAATGATTATTCTGGAGTAAATTTTGAATTTATACGAAATAATATTATATTTTATTTTTACATTTTAATTATATTAATAACTTAGAGGAAACTAAATTTGTAGATTACATAGTTTGAGAATATATGAAATTTGGTTATGTTATTTATAGAGTATTGATATCGATAACAATAACCTTAACAACTATGATGGCAATTCAGATTGTAAATTAATTTACTATGATTATTGTGTTATGGAATAAACATGTACAATCTGTTATTAGGAAATGCCTAAAATTTATACTTTAATTACCTTTGGTATTTATAGAAAGGTATCAATACATGTAGATGGATTATTCAGAAATTTGAAGTAGAATGCCATAGTCAAATAGAATGTAAAGTTAATAAATTGCCAAATTAAAAATATATTTTTTTAATGGTCAAAGTTATTATATTTGTAAAACTTGTTGAAAATAGTTAAAAGATTGTTATGGTATAAATAAATTGGATCTCATAATTTCTGAGTTAGTAGAATCAATTTCTGAATATTACACTGATAGAAATTTAGAAATTTGTGGTGATTGTGATTGTGATTGTGTTTTGATTGCAGAATTGAATTATCAGTAAACTTAATTAATAAACAATAACTTTGGCAGTAAAATTAAAATTTTAATTATGATCTTTACCTTAAAAATCATAATATGAATTATTACTAAAATATTTAAATTCTAAAATTATAAATGATACTATGCAAACAAAGGATCATTAATTTATCAATTCAGTTTATGATAAAAATTTCAACATTCAATTAAATATCTTTAAATCAATTTATTAATATAATAGAGCCCAATACAAATGATTTTACCTTAATATGAATTTAATTAATCACTATTTGACACAGTTCTTAAAACTGAACTAGAATTTTCATTAATCTCCTCTTATATGAAGATTATTATTATAATTCATGAAATCTCTAAATCCATAAAAAAAATACAAATACAAATTTTAATTTTATATATATACAATGTAAAATTTTGTACAAATTTGAGAGAAAGTAAATAGTAATAAAATTGCCTGTAAAGCACTATGTATGTTTATATATATATATAAGAATAATTTTATAAACATAATTAATCTAATTTAAAATACAAATGAATTTTAACCTCAATTATTATTAAAGCCAAAAAATATATTAGCAATTATTTTTACAGAATTAAATAATAAGAATAGATTTTTGAATAAATTATGATAAAATCCGAATCTAAATTAGAAAAAAAAAAGGGCTCGTTCGGGAATTGAACCCGACCTACTTGCACCCAAAGCAAGCGTACTACCGATATACTAACAAGCCACTTGATAATATTTTAATTGATTTTCATAATATATACAGCTGATTAAAATATTTAGGAGAAGATATGATGATGGTAGTCTCATATTGTTAATTGTATAGTATTAAAAATCTCTGTTCCTAAAAAAATTAATGAACTTTAAGTAGCTGGTTTTAGAGATGTTGATAACTGTCTATNACATGTAGATGGATTATTCAGAAATTTGAAGTAGAATGCCATAGTCAAATAGAATGTAAAGTTAATAAATTGCCAAATTAAAAATATATTTTTTTAATGGTCAAAGTTATTATATTTGTAAAACTTGTTGAAAATAGTTAAAAGATTGTTATGGTATAAATAAATTGGATCTCATAATTTCTGAGTTAGTAGAATCAATTTCTGAATATTACACTGATAGAAATTTAGAAATTTGTGGTGATTGTGATTGTGATTGTGTTTTGATTGCAGAATTGAATTATCAGTAAACTTAATTAATAAACAATAACTTTGGCAGTAAAATTAAAATTTTAATTATGATCTTTACCTTAAAAATCATAATATGAATTATTACTAAAATATTTAAATTCTAAAATTATAAATGATACTATGCAAACAAAGGATCATTAATTTATCAATTCAGTTTATGATAAAAATTTCAACATTCAATTAAATATCTTTAAATCAATTTATTAATATAATAGAGCCCAATACAAATGATTTTACCTTAATATGAATTTAATTAATCACTATTTGACACAGTTCTTAAAACTGAACTAGAATTTTCATTAATCTCCTCTTATATGAAGATTATTATTAAAGCACTATGTATGTTTATATATATATATAAGAATAATTTTATAAACATAATTAATCTAATTTAAAATACAAATGAATTTTAACCTCAATTATTATTAAAGCCAAAAAATATATTAGCAATTATTTTTACAGAATTAAATAATAAGAATAGATTTTTGAATAAATTATGATAAAATCCGAATCTAAATTAGAAAAAAAAAAGGGCTCGTTCGGGAATTGAACCCGACCTACTTGCACCCAAAGCAAGCGTACTACCGATATACTAACAAGCCACTTGATAATATTTTAATTGATTTTCATAATATATACAGCTGATTAAAATATTTAGGAGAAGATATGATGATGGTAGTCTCATATTGTTAATTGTATAGTATTAAAAATCTCTGTTCCTAAAAAAATTAATGAACTTTAAGTAGCTGGTTTTAGAGATGTTGATAACTGTCTATATATCTGGCTTATATTTATGTATGTTTTGTAAATTTCCATTTTATGGATTTAAATGTAATGAAGTTTAATATGGTTATGATTTGAGATACGCAGATCCTCCAAAAAGTAATTCAAATATTATTATTAAAGGGTTTCAATATTGTGTTTTGGAGTGTTTAGATGAAGATGAATATATATAATGTAAAATTTGATATCAAAAAAATTATCAGATGCAAAAATTGTTATTTAAGTATATAAATAAAATAAAAAAATTTAGATATTAAAAGAACGAAATTGTTATATAGATTCAAATGGTAACGTTACTTAATTTTACGATTGCAGACCTGAATATTTGTGGGATGAATATTATAAAAGTTGTCAAGATAATCATACCAAAACAATTTTTAAAGGATATCATCCTTGTTCTACTGTTTCACAAATAAATATGCAAGATTGACCTTGGATAATTTTTCTTCTTGTTTCGAAAGACATTATACTAATTATACAAAAACGACGTGATTAAAGTATTGAATTCAAAACAATTTGATCTAAATATTATAATTATAGAATCAAAAATTCTACAAAAAACTTAAAATATGTGCAAATGCTAAATCTTGTATAGAGGGTTATTGTTATTAATGCGAAACAGGATGATTTTAATTCACGTATATCATGTAAAGTAAGATAAAACAGAATACTAATGAACTAAAAATGTGTCGGTTTGCCTGGTTTTTATGATCCTTAGAATGAAGATTAAATATGTAAAAATTAATAAAATATATTTTAGCTTGTGATATTTCATGGAAAATTGGTTTGGTCCATCAAATTTAGAATGTACTCAATGTCTAAATGAAAGCATCTCAAGCAGAATTAAAGTTGATCTTTCTGTCAATGTGTAATTGGATATGCAGATTAAGCATTTAAGTATTAGAAATGTGGATGTATTAATTAAAATTGATTTTAGAAAATGTGATCCAAAATTTCAAAAATTTTTCTAAGCAGCTGAATAAACTACTTATCAATAAAGTCTAACATGCATACCTGGATAGAATCATGTTTTTCCTGAAAATTTTAAAAGTGAATGCTAAGTTAATACTGAAGATTTTAGAAGATTTTATAAGTACTTTCATCAATTATACAAAGTTTATCATTATAAATGTGGAATCTGTGATGTTACTAAGGCCACAAATTGTATAATATGCAATTTAAGCTCTATTAGAAAATTGAGGAGAATGCTTATGTATTTAATCATATAATGATGATAATACAGATAATATGGAATCTTCAAGTCTTATATTAAATTTTATTGATAGAATGTCATTATTCATTTAAAACATGTGCAAACAGTACTGAAAATAAAAAAAATGCATGCGTAGAATGTCCTTCAACTAGAATACTTTATTAAGCGACCAGATGGAAATATGACAATATGTTTGATAATGGATTCTCAAAAGATTATTAACTCTGTGATAAGTATTGTTTAACATGTAATGGACCTCTTTCATCAAATTGTCTAATATGTGATTTAAAATATAGAATAATAGATTTATAGTCTTACCTGTGTCCAACTGGGTATTATGATATTGCATAATTAGAATGTGTATGTATTTTTATTGAATAGCATTAGAATGCCACTATTCACTATAACTATTCTTGTTATAAATGTTTTGATAAAAATCCAGAAAGTTGTATTGTTTGTTCTCTAGAACTTAATTTTAGAGTATTAAAAGGAAATATCTGCCAATTTATAGATGGATATTATTAAGAGTATGGAATAGTGTAAAAGTAATTTTTCATTACTACTTATCTATTAGAATGTTAATATAAATGTGAAACATGTGAGAGCCAAGCAGAAAAATGTTTGACTTTTCTATTAAATTCTTTATGTATACTTGATTCTGTTAAGGGGTGTTTTTGTCCAAAAGAATATTATAATAAAGAAGATTCAATCGTTTGTCAAAGTAATTTGCATATCTGCATTTTAGGATGCCATTTCAAATGCAAATCTTGATATGGAATAGAGATAACTGGCTCACTTGTGATTCTTATTCTAAAAGAGAATTAACAAATTATAAATGCAAATGTTGATCGCATTTTTTAAAAGTAAGTTTAAGAATGCACTAATAATAATACTAAGTCTAAAACATAGAATGTAGTGTATTTTGTTATAATTGTTATTAAAGAATTTATAATATTAGATACAATAATCAGCTAATGTGTCAACAATTGTACGAAATATTGACTCTAATTTCCGTTTAATTCTTACATTGATGATTGAAATTTAGTGAATAATATAGGTTATGTTTGAATTATGGTTTTAAATTCAAATATATTATTACTAAATTGAATGAAGGGACAATAAATATTGTTTTATATATTCAAATTCAATCTATACATTTGAATATATTGGATGATTAAATGTTAAAGTATAAAATTAAAAGATTGTCATTATTCATGCGGAACGTGTGGAGGAATGGAAGAATTAGATTGCACTGATTACAGATATTAAGTTGGAAATACTTTTTTCTGTAAAGAAGGATATTATGATGCAGGATTGCCTGTTTGTTAAAGTATTAATAGATTCTAATAGATAGAATGTAATTATAAATGAAAAGGATTGTAAAGCAATCTGAAAGTTGTAATTTTTATCCGATACAATTTTAATACTGTCAGATAATTTGTTTCAGGTTTAAATAAATTTAAATGTCTCCAAAAATAATAAGATGATAGATAGAATCAAGTTTGCTTAGATTATTACATTATTAATCATTAAAGAATGCCATTATTAAGGTCTCTTTTGAAATGAATTATGTTCAAGTTCATAAACAGAATATATAATGATCTGCTTTTTACTTTTGATTGTAATATTGGATGTATTGATTTTGGAGTTGAAAATTGTTAATAATTCCACTATTCTTTTAAAATTTTCTCCAAATTATCCAGTAAGTCATTCAATTTACACTATTTAGGATGTATGTGAATAAGTCCTTTATTTGATATACTATTGGAAACCTTTAGTTGTTTGTTAGATTTGTAAAAAAAAAACTAATTGCAATTCAAAACTGGATTGTTGTTCATATCTAAAAAAAAAACAGAAAAAATGAATTGTATCGATGGATTTAATAAGATAAGCTTCTTTTAATAATTTTTCATATATTTTAGCAGTATGAGAAAAAGAAGACCTGCTTATTCAAACTTTACAACTTAAATTTATCTAATAATTTGCTCAATCTTTGTGAATTAATTTTAAAATCTATTTCTTCTACAGTTATTTTAATATATAATTAAATTAAGGTGTATTTTATATTCATTTCTTTGATTCTAAAATTTCTTATTTTATTATTAATTCTGATATCCTGACTTTAAGTCTGATTATATTCTTTTAATATTAGATTAATTAAATTAATCAAAAAATATTTTATGCAAACCTCGTAAATTGAAAAAAAACTTTGCTAAGTGCACAAATCAGAAATAGTGGTAGTTGATTTGAAGCCATAAACCAGATTAGAAGACAAATACTTATGTACAAGATGCCTTGCTGAAAAAGTTGATAAAGAAAATTTGACATTGCTCCAAGACACTATTGAGATGATTCAAAGCATGAAGAACTAAAGCTAAAAGCTCAATAAGGAAGAAAATACTATCAGACTCACAAATATTAAATCATTATAATCAGCCATCAAGTCATTTAAAGATTACATTAAAACTGAACTTAATAAATTACTTCAATTAATAGATTAATAAATAGAATAGATTTAAACTGAAATTGAATCAAAGGAAACTAAGGAAGAAATAAAAAATTTTGATGACGAACTTCTAATTCTATCAAAAAATTATAATGGCAATTATAGTTTCAATATACCAACAGAATAGAGTTTAAAAGAAAAAGACATAGTCCTTGTATAACTGATATAAGAATCACTATTAGCTTAATCAAAATCACAGCATTTTAAGGAGATTATGGAGTCTATTGAAAAAATAAAATTCACAACACCAAACAACTAATAGATGAATATAAATTAAATGCCTACAAAAGAATTCGAATAGCATGTAAGTTCATGATATAATATTAGAAAACTCCTTGTCTTAATTAAATATGTAGCAAACATAACAAGGAAATAATCATGTTAAACCTTAATTTGAATGAACCTGAATTTAGTCGACTGGCATGTGTAGAATGCATTGAAGATTGTCCTATTTAATACATTAGTTTGAAAGAGGCGAATAAAAGATGGAATGAATTCAAAGGATAATAAACTGATTTAATTTCAAAACATAATTTCAAAAGAGAAAAAACATTTAATGTGGCTATAAAAGAAATTAAATAACTACGAGACTATTATAATGATTAATTATCAGAAATACTTACATCTATTAATGAATAATTAATTCAAAATACTCAAAATATTAAAGATTTTATTAATTTAGAAAATAAATAGATATTTGAATTAGAAGAAAAATAAATTGAAAAAATAGTTGATTTGTTAAGTTAAAAAGATAAAAATAAGCATCTGCTTGAAGAGCAAGAAAAACAAGAAAGACTTGATTATTTGTTTTATTAAAATATCAAATAAAAATTGGATTGTCTTATTAAACATGATCTTCTTTGTAAGTAATAATTGATTAAATTAATGTAATAACAATAAGGTACTTTAATATATATTATTATTAGATTTATAATAATCAGAAAGAAACGATTCACAAATTAATAAAAAAAGTCCTGAAATACATGAATTCATATCCAAATGTTAATTGCAAGATTCTTATATATCTATATTTAATGAGTCAGTTGACTTATAGATGGAATTACAGAAAGAAGCGAACAATTTATAATAACAAGGATAGCTTGAATAATTAACTTTATTGGAGAGTGATAATAATAATGAGAATGCTTAATTATCTTAAATGTAATAATAATATAAATAATTTGAAATAAATTCAGAAAAAATGAAAAAATTGATAAAGGCAGAGGAAAATTATGAATAATTAAAAATAATTAAACAACAAAAAGAAGATTTACAACAACAGATTGAAGATGAAAAGTTAGTTTTTAAATAAATTTAATAAAAAATTACTTGTTTAGAAGAAAACATGACTACTTCGATTTAAGTGCTGAACTAATAAGTTTCAAAATAAGAATAATAATAATAAGAATTTTTACTATAAATTAATCAAGAAATTGTTACTAATAATAAATTAAAGGAAAATTTACAAGAATTATCGAATTCAAGTGAATAAAAACTATAATAGTTAGCAATAAAATATGATGATTTAAATAAATAAATAGATGAAGCTTAGTAAGACATATTTGGAATGAAAAACTCAACTATAAAAAAATTAGAATAATTAGAAAACAGCATTGATACAAAATAAAAAACAATTCATGAGAAAATAGAAGAATTGAGTAGCAATATTGAAAAAAAGGACATTGAATAATGCTCAAAATTATAATAAGAAAAATAAGAACTATTAAAAAAAATTAATGAGGAAAAGATTGCAACCAATTCATAAATTGAGTAACAAAATAATAAATTCAAATAAATCATCAAAGAAAATTAAGACGAATTTACTAAATAGGAAAAATCAATATCATCAGTTGCCTAATTAATTAAAGAGGAAAATTAAGCAAATGCTTAATTAAAAAAAGAAATAAAAGAAGTTGGAGATCAAAGCTAGAAAGGAATATCATAATTGGCTATAAAAATTGATAATTAGTCTAAAGAATTAATTAAAATAAATTCTGAAGTAGAATTTTCTTTAAGGGATAAACTACTCTTATACCATTTCGAAAATAGAAATCGCTTAGAAAGTTCAAAATAATATTTAAAATAAAAATTTGTTAATTTTGAGAAAGCATTTGTTCACTTTGAAAATGTACTATAACCAAAATTACTTCGAGGTGATTATTGGATTAAATTATTTTACATTTTATAAGATAAAACAAAGAAAATAATAAAGGGTTCAGAAGAAATGTATTTAGGTAGTCGAGATGGGTTAAAGGCATAAAATTTTTGGTAGAAAGTTAATAATAAAGACAATCTACTCATGATATTTAAATCCAAAAGTGGCTCTATCTTTGGAGCATACTCTCCTTGTAAATGGGATTCTAGTAAAAATACATTTATAGCAGATAATACATTAACATCTTTTATATTTTCATAAACTCATGATTAAATATATAATTTGAAGGAGGATAAGAAGGATAGAGCTATTTATTGTAAAAGTGATTTTGGACCATCATATGGAAATTATAATGATATTGATATTAAAGGTGATTTTACTGATGGTCATTCTAATTTAGGATATGATTATGAATTTGATCAAGATAAAAATAAGAATTATAACACTCATCTTTATGGATAAGCAAAGCCAGAAATATAGGAATGTGAAATATATCAAATATAATTCAATTGAATCTATTATATTTTAAGTAAGTCCTCCGTTATTTAATCTGTATATTATTAAATATAAAAAATAAGAATTCAACTATTATTTCTTAAATGCAGAATTAAAATGATTGATGAATTAACTCGCATCACTCAGAATTGAAAAGAGATATAAAAATAGAAATTTATTTACGCCTAATGTCTAATCTTTGTTGAGTTGGTTAAATTATATTTTCTATGATAATTAGTTTTATCATTAAATAAGGATAGAGATATTTTAATTACAATTCTAATTATGTGATATTTATCTAAAAGAATGTAAAATACACTTTGTGTGTTCTATAGAATGGTTAATGCCAATATGAAATATGATATCAATCAATAATTATTATCTTAATTAATCAGCCTTTATAGTATAATTTAATTTTCATTATTGGAAAAAAATTTCTGAGCCATCCTCTTAATTACAATAAATGGTAATATAAATAATCAAATATATAAATATGATTGGTTTTTTAGTATTATGGTAGGGCAATTCAATCAAATTCAAATGATACATTTAAATATAATAATTTAAATTTGATAATAAAGAGAGAGATAATTGAAACAGATTTATAAGTTTAGAAGACAGTAAAGGAAATCAATCCAGATTACATTAAAACTTGTAGGTGCTAAATATTATAATGTCTAATTCTTCTTTTTAAAAAGATCAAATGGACAGAAAATAAAATTTGAATTAGGATGATAAAAATTCCGAAAATGAATGTTTCCTATTAGCTTAGGTTTTGAATAGAATCAAAATATTAGAGATATAAGGCTAATTTAGGTAGATAAAAAGGTAACTTCAATAAAAGGTTGAAATGTGAATTAATTTATTCCTATTGTTTTTGAGGATTAGAAAAAAAGGAAAATTCTTAAGAAGTAGTTATTTAATTAAAATAGTCCTGAAATATTCTATTTTTCTAACCAAGATTTAAATTATGAATAGGCTGAATCATGATGAATGATTAATATAAAAAAGTTCTATTGATATCAAACTAATTATGTCAAATATATTATCTTTATAAATATAAGTCAGGGAACAGGCATAAGCGAACGAATATTTTGAAAGATTGCTTTCTTGTAACTGCTATAAATAAAATAAAATAATTTCAATATATATATGTAAGTTGAAAAAAGAAAACTAAGCAATTAATAAGACTTAGATTATAAATAATTTTAAGTAAATTTTGAAGCAAGAGTTAAAGTTCATGTACTATAATTTATAGTAAACTGTGATATGAATATTATATCAAATAGACTATATTATAGAATATCAAATGGAAGCTAAATTTTAGAAAAGTAATGCAACTAAAAACAATTAAAAAGTTAGTTAAATTTCAAAAACTCCTTTAAAATGGAAAAAGGATGGATAATTAATAAAATAACTTTTTTTAATTAATAACAACTCTTTTGTGGTTGTTTCTGTCAATATTTATTATTATGAAGAAGCATCTATTTATTTTTAAAAGATAGATATTATAATCTTAACATTTAAAAATAATCAATCGTTTTTTTATATAGGTAAGATTACCCTTATACTTTTTTGATATTATAATAGCAAACTCTTTTTTGCCATTATAGTTTTGCAAGATTGCAATTTTTCTAAAAATACCACTACTTAATGTATTAAATCTTAAATTTTTTTAATCATAGTTTTCCCCAATTATTGAATGAAATGGAAATTTATCAAATTAATATTGTTTAAGTAAAATAAATACCCTTTTTTGAGCATATCATAATTTTAAAAACTATCTTAACCAAATTTCTTAATTGTTCATTAATTATTAAGAGGAAGTAAAAAAAGTGATCATTTTGTTTTTCAAATTCTAAATATAAAAATCTATTAAAACTTTTTAGCCTAAGAGATCTCTCAATAATTATTCAATTTTTTCCTAATCATTATTTATATATCATTTCGATAATTGATTAAAGAATTAATAGGAGAGTATATTTTTAATTTAAATAAAATAAACATAATATTATTTAATAATAAAAGATATTATTAGAAAGATGATGGTTGTTTGATAATTTATATGTTGGTTTCATATTATATAATATATAAGTATCAGAATTCAATTGATATATATTATTTGGGCTCTAATTTAATACATATATCATAATTGTTCAATATTATTAAGCCAATTGCTTAAAAAAAAGTATTGCCTATGATTCATTTTGAAATATTAAAGTCAGAGCAAATTAATTTTTAGGTATAAGAGTGCTTTAGTTATGTTTATTTATAATATCAATACAAATACTAAGGGAACTTTTCTAGTATGAATTTTTGATTAATTTAAATTAAATTACTGATGTAGGCTGTGATTACTGCAAAATGAAAATATGGTTACATTTTGCATGAGTAAATTTATAATTTGTTTCCAATAATTAGGTATCAAGCATAAAAATACTGTCCATTAAAGGAATACATCATCCTAAAAAGAATACTTATTTTTTAAATTAGATTACATAATTGGATAGTTTCACTTATTTGTTTCTTTATATACGATTCTAAGTGTATTAATTTTTAAGAAAGATGTAAAATAGAAACTAAATGTTATTTTATCAAGATTTAAAGGTTATTGGAAATTAATATCTTAATTTTTCCAATTAAATAATCTTATTGAATCTTAACCATAATACTGAATCTTCATTCGCAATAAGGACTTATAAATTGATTCTTTATTTTTGATTTGGCCATTAGTATTATTATTTTAAAAAAGGACTTTCTCAATAGATTCTTATATTTTTTACTCTTTTTAATTTTCATCAACCTTATTATTTTTCATATTAGTCCAGTAACATCTTAAATTGTTCGATTGAAAAATTGTGAATTTTCAAAATCCTGATATAATTAAAATAATAAACACTTTTATAGCTTGCAATATAACATATAATAAGATAGATTTAATAAAGTTTTCTTTCCTAAATTATAAAAGTTGAATTTACTTATATCAATATGATAGATGAATCTGACAATTAGATAGAAACAAGGCCATAATTACCTAAAGAAAAATATAACAATATTATTTATTCTTAAATGTATTATATCTCTTTGAAAAATAAGACAAAAGAAAATGAAATAAATGTAAAACTTAATTTACATAATTTTAAATTTCAATTAATATAAATTTAATAATTCAAAATTATTTGTTCTTAAAAGCTAAGAAGTAGAATTATTGAATTAAGTGTTATTTAAATTATTTATTAAGTTTTTTGACATCCTATCTTATCTTGATTAAAAATAAATCTATTAGTAGATTTATTTGAACTGAAAATATTTAATAATTCTTATTTTTATCTCTATCAAATTCATAATCACATCCTAAATTAGAATGACCATCAGTAAAATCACCTTTAATATCAATATCATTATAATTTCCATATGATGGTCCAAAATCACTTTTACAATAAATAGCTCTATCCTTGTAATTCTCCTTCAAATTATATATTTAATCATGAGTTTATGAAAATATAAAAGATGTTAATGTATTATCTGCTATAAATGTATTTTTACTAGAATCCCATTTACAAGGAGAGTATGCTCCAAAGATAGAGCCACTTTTGGATTTAAATATCATGAGTAGATTGTCTTTATTATTAACTTTCTACCAAAAATTTTATGCCTTTAACCCATCTCGACTACCTAAATACATTTCTTCTGAACCCTTTATTATTTTCTTTGTTTTATCTTATAAAATGTAAAATATTGAAAAGGTTAATTTTCTGAAATCAAATATATTTTATAAGTAAAGTAATTTAATTTATAAATGCAAAGTTTACTCGAAATATAATTGCATTTAAATAAATATTTTTGAATAGAAAATCTTATTATTCTCTACTCAACAATATCAATTTGATTGGAATATCAATGTGAAAGTTTTCATAAACTAAGTATTGGTTTTGATTCAATTTTTCCAATCAATTTGTATTGACAATTAACTTTTTTAAAGCATCAATTATTTATTTCTCTTTTTCTTCAGGCTTTTTCAATGTTATATAAACTAAAAATCTATTATTTATAATCAATTAGAAACCTTCACCTTACAGCATCATTTGTTTCTCAAGCTTGTTTTCTTAAATAAAGAAATATTCAATTATTTTTATGGAAAGAAATTAATCATTTTTACAATAAATACTGAAGATTATATCCAAATTTATAAAAAATCCTTCATTTTAAATATATAAAAAGTGATTAGTTTATTTATGTAGGAATTTTTCAATTTTTTTTATTTATCTCCATAATAAGATTCTTGTTAAATTTACAGAGTACCTTATCTACCAATATTTTAATGTTTTTATATTATCCAAAATATATTTTAATTAATTGTTAATCTTTAATCAATAGAATGTACTTCAATCTAGTACGATTATGATTTAATTTCAGCTTAAGCTTTCCTTAACTTATTATTTGATATCTCATTATAATTTTTTTCTACTTAGCATTGGTTAGAATATACCATTTGTCACCTTTTAATTTGTGAATCATAATTACCTTATTATTATTTTTAATAATAAAGTATGTTTTATTTTTAAAAAGTAAGTTTAATTATTTCTATTATTATACAAAAGAGGTTCTCAAAATCAAATTGATTTTCACAAATTTTACAATATTTAGAAAAGAAATTATCAACTCTATCTTCATATATTTATTGATAAGCGTGGTAAACTTGGAAATTTTAATTAAATATTAGAGTTTTTATCAGTATATAAATTAGCATATATGCAAAGGATCTTAAATTTATGATTAATTTATGTCAACAATATCTTACTTTTTTTTATCTGATTAAATTATAAGTGTAAATGAATTACTTAACAGAGATAGTTAGTCTAAATATATTTCCTAATTTTATAGTAGAATGGTAAACAAATTAATCCTTAAAAGTGTATCTGCATATTTAAATACAAAATTATAAAACTAATTTTTTAAGTAAATTAATAAAATATATATAAGAGTAAACTAATTAACCTATATATAGTGTTAAATATGAAGAAAATGAAGTTATGTTATTGATCATTTATTACACTCATCTTCTAATTACTTTTGATAATTTTCAAATAAGCAAAGTTCAAAATAAAGTAAAATTGTTGAGTTTTCAAATCTATTTTAACATCATTTCCAAAAGTATATAAAAAGGGTAAAATAATTTGATTTGATTTTTAAGTTTAATAATTCAATCTTTAGATGAATCTAAGGATATTTGAAATCTAAATATATGAATAAAGGGAATCAAAAGTAATAGGCTTGGATTAAAAAAATTTAATTTTAAAATATAAATATAAGATTGAATTATTTAATTTTAAATTATTAATATTAACTTTTTTTATTATGTTTTAATCAAAATTGATAGAATTAGAAGAATAACTCAATTTTTTAAGAATCATTAACAACCTATTCTGATGATTTTATTAGATTAAAACTTAAAAAGAGAGGAACGCTTTTTATGTGCTATTTGTATGGAAAATTTTGAAGCAGAAACTAAAATAATTGGATTTAAAAAACTACTTAAAATGATCTAAGAAAACTAAAAGACTAAAGAAAAAAATATCTAAGGATTGATTAAAGTTGATGTGGATTTGGTAGAATCATTAGTTAACGAAATACAGATATTAAAGTCAAACTTTATTTCCAAATTTGATGAATTATTAACTAATTCAACAGAATGGATCAAAAGTCTTTAAAGTATTGGTTAACAAACTTTTAGTTATAGTTTTTTTGATGAATTAGAAATAATTATTAATAATCAAATGTAAAATTAAATGATTTAAGAATAAATTTATGAGTAAATAACTACACTTAATAATTCATTTTGTAACAAAATTAATGACAAATTATCATCTCTAAAGAACTAAGAATTATATTCGTAATGTGATAAAACCTTAATCAATTTAAATTTTAATCATAATATTAAATTAATAGATGATTCAAATAAATAAATTGATACTTGTTATGCAATTTCTTTTAATTAATCTGGGTCACTCATGATCTCAGCCTCTAATTGTGACATTAAAGTATGGAATTTTGAGAAAGGAAGAATGAATGAATTTAGCAAAATTAGTGGACATACCAAAGCTATATGTTGTCTTCAATTTAGTAAGAATAGCAATAGTTTTGTATCTGCCGGTTTTGATAATTCTATTCGATGTTGGATATAAATTAATGAAAAAGAATGGAAGAGTTCTTAATCTTATTATTAGCATACTAGTTTTATAAACTGCTTAATCTTAAATCAATCTGAAAATTAACTTGCTTCTGGAGGAAGAGATAATTCAATTAAAATTTGGAAAATAGATTTAGTTAATAATTAATTAACCTATTTTTATTCATTAGACAAACATAAAAGTAGCGTTTATAGTTTATGCTTAAATCAAACCGAAGATACTTTGGTTTCTTGTGGTGATGATAAATAGATAATAGTTTGGAAATAAGATAATGAACAAAAATGGGAATTTGGATATGAAGTTACATAATCAATTTAAGAAGTTGGATGCAGATTATGCTTTATAAATGAAGACTAATTTATTTTTGTTACAGGAAATCAAGTAAGCAAAGATTGTATAAGCACATTTGAACTAAAAAATTAAAAATATCAAGAAAACTTGGAAAAGGAACTAAGACTAAATAAAAATGATTAACAACCTGATCTCAATTTATTTCCAATCTGTTATGACAAAAAAAAGAATTTAATGATTGTAAAACATAAATAGTGCGTTTATTTGATCAAAATATCAAATGAAGGACAATTAAAAATAATCTCATAGATAAAATATTAATCAAATGATATTTTTGGAGCATTAACTAATGATGCAAAGCATATAGTTACTTGGGATAATGAGGGATAGAAATATAATGTGTATGAATTATATATTAATTGAATTCAATATTATAAATAATAATATTACAATAATAATATTTTTATGCTGAAGAAAGACATTTTTAACTACAACTCATGTATTATACAATTTACCGTCTTAATTACTAAAGTTTTATTGATAAATATTAGTAGCGCTAATTTTATAAAGTTTAATTATGTAGATTAATAACTATAAATAAATATTTGCCTCTATTGATTTTAAAAATACTTTATACAATCCCCTTCATAAGTTTTTTATATTAAAGTTATTTAATACTTTTTTTTTAATATTGAAAGCAATCTTGAAAGATATGTTTAGGTTAAATAAAACATTTTTGAAGGATATCAATTTTATATAATATATTTTTTCGTATTCATATCATACTGATAGGAAATATGAATTAACCAAAGAAATATTCATACTAATAACATATTTGCTTGTATTTATTAAAAAAATATTCAAATTCTCAAGGTTTAGAAGTTTATAATAAGTATTAACAATAATCAATGGTGGTTTTTACATGAAAATACAGTCTTTTTTATAAATTAACCCAAATAGTAAATTTGAAGAATTATAGCATTTTTTATTAAACAGAGAATAATTATTTCTCTCATTTTCTTACTAGAACATCCTTTTGAATAGAGCAGAAAACAATGATTTGAGTCAAATTTTATTTACATAAGGATTTTTGGTTATTTTATTCATTAAAAGAAAATCCTAAATAATTGTAAGTTAAATTATTATTTTATTTATAATTCAATAAGTTTTAATACTTTAAATATTTTTTTATTAAGAATATGAATAATATTTTAGATTTCAATTTAATAACCTAATTTTACTTAAAATTTCTTTTCTTTTATTAAAAAGCCATAAATGTTTAAATACTCAAGCATTACTTATTTAATAGACATTGCAGCTACAGTCAAAGAAAATATTAAGATATTTTTATTATTATTTCATTAATTGAATGTTTTTAAAGGAACAAGATCAATTAAAATAATTCAGTTTAACTACTTATTGGAAAGATTCAAATGTAAAAACTGAAATTTTAATTAATTATGCTAAGGGTTAAAAGTAAATAATAGTATCTGTGGATCGACGACACTTTTATATTGACATTTAACATAATGATGTGAATAGAATAAAGCTAGTTCCAGTATCTGTTTCTACTACCAATTCTTAGAGCAATTATTTTATGGATATATTCAACTTAGCAATTTTAATAAATCTAATATTTTTTAATTACAAGAGATGCTTATGGATAATGTAATGATAATTGTACAATAGTTTGATATCATCTAGAATCTGTGGATCCATTAACAAATAGGGTTGTCTAGTTAATAAACATAAGAAAATCTAACTGGAAATGCAGGTAAATTTATTACTATAACAAATTAAAAGGAATTAGTCTTTTCTAGTACTTAAGTATGTAAGAATCCAAATGATTAAAATGAAAATTGTATAGAAAACTGTCAAAAAACAGATTTTCCATGATTTTTAATAAATTAGAGGTACTTGTGTGTAATAATGTAATAAATTCTAAAATAATTGTATTTGTAGAACATCATATAATTCACAATGTTCTAGTAATACATATTGTACATCAAAATGAGAAGGAATTCTTTTAAAATAATGATCTCATTTTTAGTAAAAACTGTATTTGTGGAAATTTTGCAAAATAGGTTTATAAATACAAAGCAAATTAATCTACTTAATTAAACAAGGGTTGTGCTATAGCCTTATACAGTTTTATCTTGTAGAAATTCCTGATAACTAAAAAGCATAAATTTTCAAAAATCAATAAATTTTATTTATTTTTTTAATTTATGATAATATTTGTTTATATCTCTTATAAGTTTTGAATAATATTGAAATGAAAAATTTGAATGAAGATATAAAATTTATACAAATCTTCGTTTTAAAATAATCTTCTCAAACTTTTATTCTAAATCAATTCATTTCAACATTCTTTCTGTCCTTTTTTTTTATATAAAATATACTAGCTTGAATAAGTAATAACGATAAGGCTTGTTACTAGAGTATCCTATTTTAGCTATTAAATATTTATATATCTTGATATTATGCATTAAAATTAAGCTTAAAAATAGAATAATTGTGATCTGCATATAGAATCAAAATTGAAGTGTGCTATAATACAATAATTTATAAATCATACTTAAATTCAGATTAATTTCAGCCCATTCATTACTAGAAGTTTTGAATAATACAGAAGGAAATTTTGATATCAATTCTTGTTAGTAGTATTTATACAATTGGGCTTTATTTAATCAAATTTGATATCTAGAAAAGTGATTTTTTTTTTAAAAGAAAAATACTTTTTGTTTAATCAAATAGATAAATTATAAGAGAGCAATTTGAATAAACTTCTTAATAAATTTTCTAAAATTCCTTCATTTATAAATATTTTAAAAGAAATAATTTATTTAATCTAGGAAAAAAAATCACAATTCCTAATAATTTAGAATTGCTAAGAAATGAAATTCATCTTTTCAATTTAAGATTAAGATGTATTGAGTTAATGAAATACATATATATAATATGTTGACAATTAGAATATATTTTAAATTTTCTTCTGTATAATTATACTAATCCTCTCATTTGATTTCCTCTTTTATAGTTTTCTTTATTACATCTGATAGGACTAAGAATTCAAAATCACACCCATTCATTCCTATGCACATTTGAGTACGAGGAGGTTTCGGAAATTCCGAAGGTTCCCAAAGTTTATGAGGGTAATAAGATGGCTTTGGCATCTCCTTTGAATTTTGTATGCTTTTCTCTTTTGATTGTTAATTAGTTTCTTCTTTCTTGTCTAATTGCTATTTAAAAGACGACATAAAAATATTAGTAAAATTTTATTTCAAACAACATTAATTTACACTAAAAAATATTCTATTTAATTAATCATTTCTTTTTTCTTTTCTCAAGTAAACCAAAATATATACCAACACTTAAAAATCAAAAAATTATGTAGCATCTGACTATTAAAGCCTTATAAAAATAATGATAAGCTTCAAAAACTAGTGATGATCCAGCCTTATTGACTTCAAATAAATATTGATTCTTATATAAAGAGAGCACGTCTATCTGTTAGATAGAATAATAATTTATATTTGATTAATCTGTAAAAGGAATCGATATGTTTGTTAAAGGGTATATATGAATAAGAACTTAATACTCACCTCCTGGCCCAGGTAAACTTGGAAAGTCAAACAGGAAAGATTCAAGATAAAAAATCTAGAGAATTTTAGTATATTTATCTAAGACTAATAATTAAATAGTCTTAGTTAAAAAAAGGTAGAAAAGAAAGAATGCTATTAAGTTAACAGAAAAACTAACATCATCCTTAAAAAATTATATGAAAGGTTGGTTTTATATGATCTCAATTAACAGACATAGAACTAAATTATTTCAAATATGTAACTTGTTAATACTACTAAATAAATAATTGTGAGGTAGTTTAAAAATAGGACTAATAATCAAAAAAATAATTAATAATTTCTTAATAAAGCAGTTATTTAATGAGGATTTTATTTTAAGTTTATTATAAGTGATAATAAAGATGATTATTCAATTTTAGGATTTCTATAAATTCAATCTTCACAGCTGATAAATGTGAAATAAAATACTGTAAATGATTTGCTAATATCTGATTATTAAGTAAATAAGAAATAATAGCATATTTATTAATCTGTGCTTTCTGATTCATTTTTAAAAGAATCTTTGATTTAATTTTATCTCTTATATAATCAGACTCTTTAAAATTTAATGCATTTTAAATTTTCGTTTTTCAATTTAATACTTAAAGTATGAATCAATTTCACTTACCAACACAATCTGGTGATTTATAAAGCATATAAATACAGTTTGTTATCATTGTAGAAATGCTTTTTATGTACCAAATTCCTAATTATTAAAAGATTCTCATATTTTTTAGCATTAATATTGGTATTAATTAATTAAAAAAAATCATAGCTCACTCGAAAAGTTGTTAAATAATTCCTTCAATTTAGTATTTTCACAGTTTTCAGAGTAATATCTAACTTTAATTATTTCTAAAAATTGATTTTTGCAAATCTCTATTAAAATTAAATATATCATTAATCAAAAGTAATTTCACATGGAATGATTTATACTAAATTAATTATTCAGTTTTCTTCAATATATCTAAGATTATTATTATTTCTTCTATTCTTACCCTCATTAGATCAAGTATCATCCAATCAAAATCTTATTTTTAAAACAATTAAAAACTAAATTAAAAATTTTTAAGTTTAAAGCAAATTTATCGTCAATATTCATAAATTTTAATCACTGCTATTTTTATGTTGATAATTATTATATTATAAATATAAATAAAAATTCACCTGTAGCGAATATAAAAAGAACAAAGAAAGAACATTATATTCATATATCATTATTGGCCTTCTGAAAAAAAGGTCTTATATTTTATTTCAATTATATCCTTAAAAAGATGATGATTTAGAGAATCTATTTAATCATAGCTTCTTCCTATTTGTTCTTCTTTAACTCCATAAATGCTGTAGATTTAAATTCGAATGGAGCTCATCTATTAATATTCATGTACCCATATTATTATTCACTTGTTTTTAAAAAAGGTCTTCCTCAAGTATAGTGAAATTTAAGGACAATCTTTGATGATCTGCAAATATATAGAATTCATCAGGTAACATTTCATGTTTCCATTCTATATTTTTGGGTATCATCATTTTGTCAATCTATCTTATCATAGTTCCAACCTTTTTATTGGCCCTCTTAATGACTACATCATAATATTAATTGGGATTTATCTTATTTTGGGATTAACTATGAGAGGGTTACTTCTCTTTCTTTATTGTAACTCTACTATTTTATCCATAAATCTTTTACTTTTTATTACACTGAGCTTCTTATGCCTTATTTATTATTAAGTTCTTTAATACTTTTTATTTCTCATACAAATATTCTTAAAAATTCCAATTTAAGATATTTATAGTGGTGTTCCTATAGNAGAAATGCTTTTTATGTACCAAATTCCTAATTATTAAAAGATTCTCATATTTTTTAGCATTAATATTGGTATTAATTAATTAAAAAAAATCATAGCTCACTCGAAAAGTTGTTAAATAATTCCTTCAATTTAGTATTTTCACAGTTTTCAGAGTAATATCTAACTTTAATTATTTCTAAAAATTGATTTTTGCAAATCTCTATTAAAATTAAATATATCATTAATCAAAAGTAATTTCACATGGAATGATTTATACTAAATTAATTATTCAGTTTTCTTCAATATATCTAAGATTATTATTATTTCTTCTATTCTTACCCTCATTAGATCAAGTATCATCCAATCAAAATCTTATTTTTAAAACAATTAAAAACTAAATTAAAAATTTTTAAGTTTAAAGCAAATTTAGCGAATATAAAAAGAACAAAGAAAGAACATTATATTCATATATCATTATTGGCCTTCTGAAAAAAAGGTCTTATATTTTATTTCAATTATATCCTTAAAAAGATGATGATTTAGAGAATCTATTTAATCATAGCTTCTTCCTATTTGTTCTTCTTTAACTCCATAAATGCTGTAGATTTAAATTCGAATGGAGCTCATCTATTAATATTCATGTACCCATATTATTATTCACTTGTTTTTAAAAAAGGTCTTCCTCAAGTATAGTGAAATTTAAGGACAATCTTTGATGATCTGCAAATATATAGAATTCATCAGGTAACATTTCATGTTTCCATTCTATATTTTTGGGTATCATCATTTTGTCAATCTATCTTATCATAGTTCCAACCTTTTTATTGGCCCTCTTAATGACTACATCATAATATTAATTGGGATTTATCTTATTTTGGGATTAACTATGAGAGGGTTACTTCTCTTTCTTTATTGTAACTCTACTATTTTATCCATAAATCTTTTACTTTTTATTACACTGAGCTTCTTATGCCTTATTTATTATTAAGTTCTTTAATACTTTTTATTTCTCATACAAATATTCTTAAAAATTCCAATTTAAGATATTTATAGTGGTGTTCCTATAGCTATATCTTTGAAACTTCTTTTTAGTACTATGGTCTCTACTTAACATGGTTCTTTAATCGATGACATATCTTCTCAACTTTACATGAATTGAATAAACTGGATGGTCACAGTAGTTGTGTTAGATCAGCCTGTTTCTCTCCTGATGGAATTATGTTTGATAATAAAAAAATATATGTAAATTAACAAATTAACATATTTTTTATAATAAACAGGAATGAACACGTATGGTTGCTAAAAATTGAATTTAATTCTTTATTCGATTGGAAATTAAAGAAGAATATGATAAAATTATAAATTTTATATATGAAAAGTTAATAAAAATATTAAATAGATATTTGATTTTTAATTGTATGAAGCTTTTTATAAATAAATTATTAATATTAATAAAATTATATATTTCAATATCACTGAGAGTAGGCAATTATAGCTCCCTCAATTAGATATTATCTTCGCGGATATTTTAATTTCACTTATACTCTTGAACTAATATTTTCCTTGATATCTAAGGTTCATTATAAAAAACTGTGTAAAATTTTCTAATCATGCTACTTAAAAATTACATCAATTATTCAAAATAAAATTAACCTATAAATTTTATAAAATGATTCTTAAAAATAGTAAGGCGATAAATGACTAATTAAAATTATATTTAGGATATTTTTGAAACAAGAAAGATCATATAATTTGAAAATCAAATATATTTATATTATTCAAACAAATGTAATGGAAAAATATCAGATTATAATTTTATTTATTGAAGATTAATTTTCACATTAAAAATTGAAGAGGATAATTTTATATTTTATAGATAATGTTAAACAAAATTAAGCAATTAATCAACCTTCTTTTATTTTATCAAAGTATATTTTCAAAAGCGATAATGTTTTGCACCAAAGTCTTGATTTGAACGTATAGAACAACAATTATTAAATGCAAAGTTTTGCAGAACCTCCTATTCTCATAGACTAAGTAATATTAATAATCTATGTATCAAGTTATCTGCCTTTTGGAAGATATATTTCATTAACTACTAAAGAAAGTATAGAAGTTCAAGTACAAAAAAGACAACCATTTTTTCAACTATTATTTATTCTAGTAATTTTAAAATAACGTAAAGTTGAAACTTAGTCAAATAATTTACTTTTAAAGAATAATATACATAATGTTTTTTGAATTAATGAAAAGTTGTAAATTAGATATTGCATCTAAGAACTTATTTAGTGAATAAATATTATTAAAATAACTAATGGAGATTAAACTCTTTGGAAGATATTAAAATTTGTAAAATCTATGTAATAATTTATAATTTTTTGCTTACTGAGACCCTAATCAGAATTAATTAAAGTAAGAATATTTGAAGATTATGGTGACACATCTAAGTAGGTGTAAATTTTAATTGTAGAATTGCTGGTTATCTCAGAATACTAGAATATAGGTTACTCAATTCACCTTTATAATTTAAATAGGTTATGCTATCTGATTTCAAATTCTTCAAAAATTAAAATGAGAGGTAATTAAAATATGTCATAGTATATCATCCTAAAAACTTCTTTTAACAATTTGAATCTATTCTTAATGAGACTAGAGAAAAATTCTCTTTACAAAATTTTAGTGTTTTCAAAATTATATATTTAACATGATGGAAGGAACAAATTAATAAAAATATTTTTCTCCTGTTAAGAAAAAAATAGCAAATCGATAAAATATAATTGTTTAAATAAATTAAAAATCTCTATTTTTTACATAATATAAGAAAGCAAAATTATACGGTGAATGCGTAATAATAATTGTTTTAATTTATTTACTAAGGTCTTTAAAGTAATCATCAGCAGCAAGTGATTATTTCCAAAAGGCATTGCAGATTGAACTAAAAAAGTAGATTTAATACTAATATAAAAGTATTCTATAAATTCTATCTTTGTGGTAAGGTTATAAGAACTCCAAAAATAAGATCAAACATTATTTAATAAAAAAATCTAATTTATTTAAGATGAGGCATGTGCTTAAACCCTATTGAAATTGTACTAAAATTTTAAACGATGAAAAATTATGTGTAGGCTTAGAAGTTTTAGATAAAATTCTTTAATGTTAACCAGGTAATGTGAATCAGGTTCTAAAAAAAATTATTTTCATATAATTTTAGATATTTGTTCACTATCATAAATTTCCTAATAAAATGATACAATCCTTAAATATATAGGGTAGTTTATGATACAATCTTAATAAGTTTGAAATATTAAAGATAATAAAAAATTTGATAAACATTTTTATTTTTCGTTAATCACTAAGTAAATCACCAATGTCAAACAAAGTTTTAAATTTATAAATTTTTTTAGTCATTTGTTTCAAGAGAAATTTAAATTTTATTTATCACAATGAAGAATAAGTTATAGGATTCTTAAATAACAAATGGTTATAAGATTATTAGATTTAATTCAATTTTTTTAAGTTTTAATATAATATTGAAGTTCTGTTTGAGCTAGTGTTTCATCTCATTTAATAAAAGATACTTAATTTTAATATTTTGTTATTTTTATTAAGAAAAAGAGTAAAAAGAGTTTGAATTTTTTTATGTCCAAATCAACCCATATATGAATTCCAAGTTCAATTACACTTTAAATCGAATGTTTTAATATCTCAATAAAATAAATTTAATAATTCATTTATTCAAAATACATTAATTCTTTCTTATCCATATAAATATATAAATTGTGTATTTCACCAAAAATATTATTGCATTAATTCATTAATAATTATTTTAATGATGAGTGTTTCAATAATCTTCATCCTTATTGCTTTAATTGATGTTACGAATTAATAATGGAAAATTTTATACGCATACTTTATCGATGATTTTGATTGTAGGGAATTTTATATTCCATCCACTTTTAAATGTGCAAATTATATAACTTGCACTAATTATCTAACAAAATTAATTACTCTAAATAGTACATATCCTTCAGCAGAATATTATTATAATCTAATGCTTTAAAACGGGTATTATTTTTCTGTGGATTTATATTTTCAAGGTACATGGTCATCTGAAACTGTTACTATTAATTTAGGCTCATTTTAGTATACATATCGATACACTTCTCCTAACAATTATGTAATTAATACTGGATTTTGTGATGAAATTGCTTATTAAGTTAAAATTGTTAAATTTAAAATGGAAATCCCAAATCCAGTTTATGGTAAGTTTTAGCTTACATCATCAAATAAAAATGATGGATAAGTTTCAATTAGACATATGATTGTTTCAGCTTTGAAATGTTACCCTTCTTGTAAATAGTGCACAGGACTAAAATTTAATTAATGTATAAGTTGTTTTTATGGATTACCTACAAACAATATTTGTCCATCCTGCCCAGATAATTAATATTATATAAAAGATTAAGGATGCAGAAATATTTGTGATATTCTTGTTCCATTATATACTAATGGATTTTGTTAATCTTATCCAGTTTATTTATTTGAAGATGAGTTAGCGAGGCATGAGTAAATTTAATGGTTTATTATATATGACCAGTTACATGTAGATACATCTCCAACAATAATAAATGGTGGTTTTTACGGGATTTTTAAGTTTAATTCTGGTATATATAGATATTACAAATCATTATCTACTTACTCTGATTCAATTTATTTAGTTGGGTTTAAAATTACAGTTGTAACTTTAAATAATATTCCCCTTAATTGTGGAATATAGTTTTTGATTAATAATACTTATTTTGCTTCAATTTTTAGAAATGTATCAGGAATTTAAACACATAATATTAAAATCTATTTAAATAAATAGGACAGATCATATTTAAATTATCCTTCAAATACAATTTATGAATTAATTACATATGTTGACCTTCCTAAATAACCATTTCTTTTTTCAGCAATAGGAAATTATACGTAAATATTAACATATTTTAAATTAGTGATAATACAGCAGGATGGGGATTGTATTCAGTTTCTTTTACATCAGGATTTTTTCCATAAGGCTGTTATTTGTGTGAAGTATCATTGAAATGTAAGATTTGTTAACCAGGATACTATATGTATAAAAATAATACATGCATTAGAAACTGTCTAGAACGATATTAAAAATTAAATGGTTCTTAATGTTTTGATTTTGATGATGAAACACCTTGTATCAATTCTATATATATTTAGACTCTTAATATTTAGCTTAAGACTTTCTAGATGAAGCACACGATCCTGAATAATACACAAAATACACACTAATCTCTTAAAATGGGACAAATTTTTTAAAGGGATCTGATATATATTATACATATATAGAGTTTAATTGGAGTTCGAATTTTAATAGAATTTTTGGAGGGCCTTTGATATGGGCTTAAGCTAAATTTTAAAGAATTCATAATGTAGAATACCCCCATCATGGGATTACCATCGCATTTTTATACTTTATGGACCAGAATTTCCTTCAAATGGTTAATTCATTTATATAATTGACAACAATCCACCAGTTGCTAAATAAAACTAAAATTTTACTGATTCATATTCTTTTAGTGGGATAAAATATGACAGAGTATATGAAAGAATAAACCACAATACAAATACATTAACAATAAGTTGGGAATGCTTTGGACCAAATAATGAACCAATTAAAGCTTATTGTGGATTTTATAATTATTATGTCGCTGTTCATAAATGCTAACCTTATTGTTTATAATGCTCAAATGAAACTACATGTACATAATGGAGTAGTGATTATGATGCAAATATTATAAAATTTTCACAAGAAGAGTGTTAAATTAATTAATATTATGATATAGATAATTATAGGTGTTTGGATTGTCCAATATCTTGTTTAAAATGTACATCTAAAATAGATTGTTAAACATGCTAATCTACTTATACATAAACTAAATTAGGATGTATTTGTAAATTGAATCAATATGAAGATTCAAATCAATGTTTTGATTGTCCAATTGAATGTAATTAATGTTAAAGTTCAAACAATTGTATAGAATGTTTAGTTACAAATAATAGAAAATTGTAAAATCAATAATGTATTTGTATTGATGGATATTATCCAATTTTAGAGAATCCTTAATGTCAAAGATGTCATTAATTTTGTAACACTTGTACTGGCCTACTTCTGATGATTGTTTAACTTGTAATAATATTGGTAATATTGAAATTGTTGGATCAACATGCAGATGTCCATCAGGATTATTTTATAATGCAGTGTCTAAATCATGTTCTTAGTGCCATTCATCCTGTTAAACTTGTTTTCAAGGAACATTTGATAGTTGTTTAAGTTGTGATACATCTTTAAATAGAATATTAAAAGGATTATAATGTGTATGTTCCCCTGGCTATTATGAATTAAATAGTATTTGTACAAGTATTTAGATTATTATTAATTTTAGATTGCCCAGATATAGAAGATATTTTATTAAGTACATGTTATAAATTATGCACTAATAATTAATAATTATGGCATACAATTACTTGTAATTCTTGTGATGAAGGATTTCATTTAATTTATGGAGAATGTTAACCTATTTGTGGAGATCTATAAATATACGGATATGAATAATGTGAAGATAATAATACTCTTTTCGATGATTTATGCTTTAATTGTTAATTTTAATGTCCAGCTCATTGTCTAACTTGTGATGAGTCAACTACTTTACCTTGTCCTGATGTTTGTGGAGATGGAATGATTACTGGAATGGAAGAATGTGAAGACGGAAACACTATATAATATGATGGATGCTTTGATTGTAAATTTTAATGTTAACTTTAATGTACAAAATGCATTAAAGGATAATGTTTTGAATGTAATACTGGTGGTTGGTATGTTGATCCGACAGTTTAACCTTGGATATGTAAAGAAAGATGTGGAGATTAATTAATAGTTGGATAAGAATAATGTGATGATGGAAATTAAGATGATACAGATGGATGCAAAAATTGTAAATATTTCTGTAGAATTGGATGTTCTTCTTGCAATTATAATACTAATAAATCTTTAAGTTGTGAATTACCTGGATTTTTTCCACAATATTTTTATTGCAAAAATTATTGTGGAGATGGGTTTGTTGTAAAAGATCCATATGGATTCTATTCTGAAGAATGTGATGATGGAAATAACACTAATTCTGATGGGTGCAATAACTATTGTCGATTTTAGTGTTAGCCATAATCAATTTGCATAAATTGTGTAAATAATCGATGTGAATAATGTGCTCCTCACTATTTGCTCTCTGATTCCAAAATATGTATTCCAATATGTGGAGATTAAATAATAGTACCTTATGAACAATGTGAAGTTCCATTTATATTACCCTATAAGGGTTGTTAGAATTGCTAAGCAAAATGTTAATCCTCATGCATTACTTGTGATAATACTGGACTAGGTTGCAAAGCTTGTAAGAATGATTACAATAGAATCGATAATTTATGTTATTCAATTTGTGGAGATAAAATAGTTACAGAAGATGAAGAATGTGATGATGGGAATTTAAAATTTGGTGATGGTTGTCATTAATGTTCTTTTAGTTGTCCTGTTTTTTGTTCAGATTGTCGCAAGGGTGTTTGTTATGATTGTCATGAAGGTTATTATTTACTTAAGTATTCCTGCTTTAAAATTTATGATTACTATCCTGATCCAAGATGTAATTCTTAATGTTTGAGCTGTAGTATCGGAGGACATGGTTGTTCAGTATGTTAAAGTGGATTTTAAAATATTAATGGTACTTGTACACCTATTTGTGGAGATAAATTAGTTGTTGCAGATGAATAATGTGATGATGGTAATATAATATTTGAGGATGGATGTCATGTATGTTCAAAACCTTGTTCTTGTTCGTATTGCTTTGAGGGTATCTGTTTTAGTTGCCCAGATAATCATTTCTTATTTAAGAATTAATGTTTTAACTTAGTAGAGTAGGCTAATTTTAAGGAAACTACTAATTTTTAATTCTCAGACTTAAGCATTATTTAAACATTCAAAGATAAATCTACTTAAACTAGTAGAATTCACCTAAAAATTGACCAATTTGAAAAATAAGTGTATAATCAAGTTGGTCAATATATAGAAATCATGGATAAAGATTATTCATATATAAATATTTAAATCATTTTCCAATGCTCTTAGAATAAGAAAGTTAAAAGTCAATTTAGTATATCGAATTATGAGAATGGAACTAATAATTAAGAAAATCTATGGTTAAATCAATGCCATTAAACAGTTGATCATACAATAACATATTCTTTTAGGTTAGAAAAAGTAGTTTTGAAAGATGAAATTATGTTAATTTAAATTTCTGAAGATGAGTTGATATTATCAATTCTATTTATACGGTCTCCATAGAAACTGTTATAAATCACATTGGTTGATATTTGATGAATTATAATCATAATCAACATAAATTAAAATATGCAATATTTAATTTATTTATATATATAAAAAATTATAATAAATTTTAAAAGTTAGATAGAGTCATATATTTAGATAAAGTTTAGAAATAGAATTTCATGAAAATCTTGAAACTAAATAATAGAAAAAGAAAATGTTAATCTTTGATAATATAAATATCGTTTCAAAATTAGATATTGAGCAATTTGGATATAAAATAAATTCACTTTTTGTTGAATCAATTTTATAAAAGTACCATCTTGTACTCAAAGTCTTTATAAATATATATTTCATTTTTAGCATAAGCACACTAAAATTTGATAGATTAATTACCCTTTTAGTATATAACTACATTTAAAATACTCATCTTAGAATTTATTTTTTTTATTCTCCTCATTGCAAATACTTTGGCATTAAATAGAAATCTCTCATAAAAATTAAAATTTCATTTCTTCTCTTTCTTAATTTTACCAGTATATCTAATCGGGGTAAAAAAAAGTATGATTTCTGAATCATCCTTATTTTGCAAAAATACAATCATGAATAATAATCTAATTCGCAATATAATAGGATTTATTTTATATAGAATTCTTTTATATATGATAGAGTTCTATTTAATACAAAAATTCTAAGATTCAATCCATAATCTCAAGGAAAGATTTTCGAGTTAAATTAAAATCTTATATTAAGTCTAATTCTATAATCTATGTCGTATGAACTATCACATAGTCTAAAATAAGACAATAATTATTTTTCTAAGTGAGTGTTAGATTCAATAACTCCTTTCAATAATCTGTAGTATTCACTTGATTTTATTAAATATCAATTTTTATTAATTTAAAATTCCATCACAAAGATAACAGTCTATTAGAGTATCTTATTGTTTGCTCAACAATAAATTGAAATTTTTTGAGCTCTTAATAATTATATGATATTCACAATCTTTAAAGATCAGATTATCACTTAAATAAAATTTTAATAAAATTAAATAAATTAAAAACTATTCTAGAAATTACTATATTTACTATATTTCAAAAATATAAGATTGATAGTAAGCTTATTGTAATGAGGAAGAACAAATATTGTATTGATTGCGTTATTTTGCAGTTCAAAATGTTGAAAATTTCTTCCATATTTATTGATTAAAATTAATATACAAAATTTTATTTCCAAATAGAAATATCATAGGAGTACTATTGTAACCAAGACCTAATTGATCAAAAATTTTTATCAAAAGTGCTCTACTCCTTTGAAATTACTTAAAAATAAAGATTATTTGAGTAATTTCCTACTTTTTTTTGTTTTGAAAAATCTAAGTCACATGTTGTAGTCATCAAAAGCATGTATTTCTCATATAAATGATTATTATAGTAAGAAGTTGCAATATTTTTGATCAATGTTCTAGAAACTCAATCCAAATAAGTTAACCCTGGATTTTTAAGGAACATATGTATGAATTAGAATATATTTAAACAATGGAGCTCTAACTTATTCTAAATTGAAAGAGTCTAGTAATCCCCCTACTTTATGTAAAATTGAATGATTCTACCCTAGTTTACAACTTTATTGTTAAAATATAAAATATTGCATTCTTTAGTTTTTTACACAACTCTTTAAGGAACTTCAAATATATAATCTAATTTAAATATATCATTTACTCTATTCAAACAATAAATACATATTTTCATAAGTAGGTTGGAGATTATCACTAAAATTAAATTAAGAAAACCCATTTCAAAAATTGAAGTTAACATCTTCGCTGCAATATTCTTATGAAAAATAGTGGATTAATATGAATGGTCCACCTTCTTTTTCTAGAGTAATTCCCTACCCTATAATAATATACTTTTCTGGATTCCTATTATGTTCTCTCATATTACTAGGTTCAATCAAGATCAATCCATCTCTTTATCGTATTTCACTTTTGCAATCATAGTTATTTAGCATCAGTATTGTTTGTTAAAAAGGTTTCCAACAATAGTATTACTTTATTCTAAAATTTATGTAGGTTTATTTAATAATTTACTAAATCATATTCTGATCAAGTTTGAAAATTAGTAAAAATAATATCCATACATGCTGCTTATCTATTGTCATTTAAATAGAAGATTTCTTTAAATATATTTTAATCATAGGTTTTAATTATTAAATCTTAAATCTGCAGAGGAATTAATACATTTATTAAATCTTCACCAGCTTATCAAAATTGTCCCAATACCCCAGTTAATCTGAAAATTTAATAAAAGTTTCTTTAATTTTATGTCTATAAAATAGTCTTTAAAATCTTATTCTCTTTCAGAATGTGTAGACTTATAATTTTTATTCTAAATCTTATTAATATAATTGTAATATTTTCTTTAAATCGTCATTTTCATCTAATTTTACTTCGAAAATCTATAATTTATACTTATATCAGGTTAAGTTAAATGTAAACCCAATTATAGAAGTCATTATACTGACATTCTTCAGGGTTCGAAATTCTAATTCATAATCTTGAACTACGCCTTAATGAGTAAAACACTTTCTATAAAATATTTAAGTTCATAAATACATTATAAACTTGTAATTTATTAGATTAAATAAAAAAGTTAGCAGTATACTTAAGATACTTGCAATCATTTATTCAATCACTTGGAGCATTCTACTTATGACAATCAACTAGGCCAATGAATTTGAAGAAGTTGGATGAGGAGTAAATATATATTTCACTCGAATGATTTTAAACTAAAATTTAATTTATAATATATTAAAACTGTATCTGGTTGATTAAAATAATCATATCGAGCATCATGACTATTGAATCTATCAAATATCATAATGCCACAATTATTCTGGCAAATCCTTTTCTTCAAAACTCAAGGCCTTCATGTCCTGAATCTATGAATATTTTAAAACATTATTTCTTCTTATGTGATTTTTTGTATCTTGATGATAGAGCACCTTTTTCCATTTATAAATATTTAATATTTAATTATACTGCATTAGCCGTAATCAAAAGAATTTCATTTTGTCATAACTTCAAATAAGAAATAAATTGGCTAATATTTTGATGCCTAGTTTAAATTAGTTGCACTTCTTATCATATTATTTAAATTAATTATTGAAAATATCTACTGATGATTTATTCAAGTTTTTAACAATATCAAATATAGAGGATGAAATTTTGATGAATTTAAGATAAAAATGGGAAAATTTATTTATTCTGATTCAATAATAAGTATTACCTTTTGATAATAATTTATCATTATTAATTTGAAATACTATTAATGAGAATATGTTTCAAATTAAGATTGTATTTTATAATTAATATTTTTTATATTAAATAAATATAAAAATCAAAAATGTGTTGTTCTAAACAACTAGTATATACTTAATTGAAATATTTTAGTAAAATAAATGATAAAATATTTAATTTTATTTCTGTTAATTATTTTATGTAATCCTTAAGTATTTCTTAGAGAATAGTTTTTCAAATTAGATTAAGTGTTATCATTCAAATAATAATAGATTATAAATTTATGTTTTACATTTTTCATACTATTTACTTTATCAAAGCTTAAATTATATTAATTTTAATTTATCCAATTAAATTAGGATTAAACAGTTCAATTTTATTCCTATTTTAATATATAAATTACAGTGTATTTAGATATTTTATATTTTGCTCTCATGATATTATTTATTGCTATTTGATTGTTATTTGATCATACTATTTGGCCTCTATTTCCTTTAAGTAAAACTAACTATTTTACTGAAAAGAGAGCAAAATCAGATGATAAGTATCTAAAATAATAAAGATCAAGTTTAAACAACGATGTTTATTTTATTGATTAGAATTTCAATTTATAATTTATTGTAGGTGCATCTAATTATTGTAATAAAGATAATGATTTTACAATGGTTTTGAATTTGGACAATTAAGACATTTATAGGCTAAAATATAACTAATTTTTTAAGAGAATCATTATTTTTAGAATAATAAATACGTATTATTAGATTCTATAGGAAGCCAAATGTTAAAATCATATAAGAATATTGAAGTATAAACTAATATCTAAATTCATTAGTTTTTATCTTGTGGATACAAATGAATTAATAGTAAGTGTGAAAATTTTGGTAATTTTGGTTCAAATTGTATTTTTATAGATATTCATCATTATTAAATAAATAATTTTAAAATAATGAATTATATATTCAATCATTTCGGATAACATATAAAAATAATGATGTCTCACTTTATACATTAAAAGATCTTTCATTTAAATTAGAATACCAAATCTAAATAAAAATATGATTAAATTTGATCCTTAATTAAATTTAAAGAAAGTTTTATTTTAAATATGGTTATTTATGATTATTAAAATAAATTTGATTACAAATACATTAAATTCAATCCCAATAGGAATAATAATTTACAACTTTACTATATTTTTTATTATGAAATGTTTGTATTAATGATTTCTCAACACAAAGAGCCTATATTTTAAGAGATCTATTATTACTTATAACTAGAAATAACTTTTAGTAATTTATTATTGATAGATTTTCCTTAAGGTGTAGATTGCTTAACAAGATTTACTTAAAATGTAAACTTATTATAACACTATATTTATATGATGTATCTTAAATAGTTATTCATCAATTAATAATAAAAACAGCTAAATCTTATTCATTATTCTATGAATAGATGATTGTATATTTTATAATAAATAAACCATTTTTATTGATTATAAAATATACACTAATTTGTAAATAAAACTATATATCTACTATACAATTAAATTAAATAAGCTCTGAATATAATTGTTATTGTAACAATAAATTTGTTTGATTATTAGATAATGAGATATAAATTAAAGCTAAATCTATATCACTTCAAAAATAAATTTTATTTGAATATTGTATCTAATAATCTTATTTATAGTGAGAACTCCAGAAAAGTGAAGAAATCGTTTTGAATAAATATAATAAATATTCCAAATCAGAGTTCTTAATGGAAATGTTTAATTGATTTGCTAAAAATTTATTTAAAAATCTAATAACATTAATTCATCTGGACCAGTTCTTTACTTCAAAATAGAGAGTAATGAAACATTACTCATGAAATATACTACATTCACTCATATTAACATCTAATTCATTGATTCAGATGAGAATACAGGATATATAATGATCTACTATTACACTTTTAAATATTACAACATATAATATCTAATTTTGAAACTCTAGTGTTAAGTAATTAACTTAATCTTTTTTTCGAAAGGGTTCAAGTAAATTAAGGATTTTAGTTCTGAGGATTAAGTAGAAGAAATACATTAGAAATCCACCTTTTAATTAGATATTTTATATTCCTTTAATATTTTCACAATTGAGATAGGCTTAAAAATCTATTTAGTATTAAAAAACAAGAGAATCTATATATTATTGTATATTTAAGACATTAAATAAGTCAGATGAATAGAATTTAGAAGAAAAATATCAATAACTAATAATTATATTACTTATGTGAAAAAAAATATATTTATGGTTTTCTAATGTCAAAACTCATTTTGATTATATTCATTTAATGAAAAAATTATATCATTAGGGAATGATTTAGTAGATTAGGTTCTATTGAGTTGTTTTTGAAGTTATTAAGTATACTGTCAAAAATATAATTAAGAGATTATTAGCTCTACAAGAAGATTTGTGATTTTCGATATTTGAGTTGAATCAAAGAACGATAATTATACTTCATGGATTAGATAGAAATAGTTTATTAAAAATTTTATATACTTTAGACGAAAATAACTCTTATAGTGATAATATTTTATTAAACCTATTATAATTTTATAATTAACTCTTTCCACATTTACTTAGTATGGTTAAGCATGTTAATTATTTTTGATATATTAATCGATAGATGAGAAGCCCTTCTCACTATATCTTTTATTTATTCTTACTACAATTAACTACTTCTATACCCCATATTTAATGTATCAATCTACTAAATAACTTAGCTTCTATTGTTATTTTGAGTTTACTCTTTTAAATCCTTCCAGCTTAATCATCTATTGTATATTCCTATAAATCTTAGAATTGCAATTCAGATTTTGAGCATGTATATTTTCTTTCTACCTACAGATCCAATCTTCATAGCCTTAAATTCTCGATTTTCTTTTAACTACCTCAAAACTATTTAAGGTCTGTAAGACACCTTATTTGATTGTATACTTATATTTTTTTATGCTCAAAATTAATAGAATCAAGATAAAGATTGAAAATTCTCTTGCAACATAAATATAATTGTTAAAAAGACTTTCCAAAGAGGGTCTAGAATAAATCTTATTTACTTTAATATTTGATAAGATTGCCTCATTAAGTTCAGAAGCTATTAGTTTATTAAAATCATGTAATAATCCGATTTTATTTACTTTGGAAAAACTTAATTTTTAAATCTAATGTCTAATTAACGATGAAATTTGGAATTAATTAAATTATTTATTTTAATTTTTAATGTTAATTAGGAGTGTTTGAGTAATTACATCTATATAATATATATATATATATATATTATTTTCTTCAAAAAATGAAATTCCGGTTTACTTCGATAAAAAATAAATATCAATAGAAAATGTAAACATTAAAAGTAATTTAATGATGTGATATAGGAGAATCAAAATTTATTTGAATTTCCTACCATTTGTAATGATAAAGCATAATCATGAAAATTAATAAAATATCTAAGGGAGACTTTTTAAAACTGATTTTACCATTTTTTTTTTATCTTAATTAGATTCATACATCAAAGCAATTGCTAACTTTTTATCTATTTAAGTTAACGAAATCATGATGTTAAAGGTAATATAATGTAGGTAATGTAAAAAATTAATAAGTAATCTGGAACTCTGGCCCACAAGAGACCCTTGTATTATTCCAGATCTCTTTATATTTCTAATAACACAAAATTATTTAGATTCTTTTACGATTTAGCAACTAAACAAGCAACCTTAAAATAAATAGGTATGTCAAATCATCATTTGATAATTAATTAATTATAAAATTTTTGGATTATTTTGGGTTTTTTTCTAGAATTCAATTAATATTTAATTATATATATGAATTCATTCAACCATGTTATAACTAAAAGCAAACTACTAATTATCTAAGATTGATCTTCAAATATCTTATAACAAAATTTCTGCTTTTACCTTAAACTTTCATATAGAATTCTTATTGTTTATATTTTAGAATTTTGAGAGGATTCAAAAATTGACTTCAAACCAATAATAATAACCATATTATAGCTTCCATCAAAAGATGAAAAATTTCAAATTAAGTCCTTATATGCTAAGAATTTTGGAAATAAACTTTAAACATTAAATAAAAATTATATAATTTTTATGTTAATATTTGAACTAAAATAACGGTGAATTTAATTTTCCAAATTATAAATTATAATAATTGAAATTATAACAAATTTTATTTATATCAACCAAATGATTTAGTAAATGATTATCAATTATGGGCACTAATGCAAAATCACTAATGATTGAAATGGCCATATTATATTAAATCATATATCAAAAATAAAATTTTTTATAAATAATTTGAAGTATGAAAGAAAAGTTTTTAATAAATACAAAAATCAAATCGCTTATTTTTTTATTTTTATTGGAAAAAGAATAAAATATGGTGGAGACTAATTCTAAACATTAATGATATTAATAATATGCATTTTTATTTTTATGAGAACTAAATATTATAAAAATATCTTTTAATAATCTTTTTATTTAATCATTCTTGATAGATAACTTTTGGAAACTGAAAATAAATATTACATGAATACCTAAAAACGTCTATGAGGAAGAAAACTCTTATAATACTCCTTCAAAGTAGTTTGGGCCTTTCAATTTAACAATAATTCCAGGACCCATGAGTATTGATTTGATTTCAAAAGGAATTTAGTTTTACAATTTTGATTACTCTCCTTAGCATATTTATAATAACATTCCATTGTAATTACATTCACTAAAAAAATTCACACAAGGAACAGCAAGTCTTAAAATTATGTCTCTAAATCCCCAAGATTCTAGAAATCATTCAATTAATACCATCATTTAGATCTTCAAACCAAGAATTAGAATTTAAATTGTCTTTTAACTTAATAGTTAAATCAGTTCCTGTTATTTAAAACTTTAGTGAAAGAGGCTAAAGCAAATCCTACCAAAATTCCGTTCTACAAATCATTGTACCATCATCATAATTCAATATTAAATTTTCAATTTACACTTCATTTGCATAAATCTCAAACCCTTCTTTATCCCAAGAGTCTAATTTCCAAATACCAACTTATAATTCAATTAAATTATTAGGGGGAACATTTGTAAATGTCTTGGTTACTTAAGTTTTAAATCCATAAGGTCCCATAAATAAATTTTTAGGTTGTGATCCACACCTATCTAAAGTTGCATCACTCGTTCCAACAATTTAAAAATCTGTATATCTACAATCAGCAACATCATCTGTTAAACAATTTTCATATATTATTGATTTCAGAAACAATATTTTGAGAAATGAAATTAAAGGTGGCATTAAAATTAATATTAAATTCAAGATAAAACGAATTTCATTCAAATAAGAGAGAACAACACTTAAGTATCTTAACAATATTTATAAAGAAAAATATGTCTTGATTTTACTTTAACTAAATTTCTAATAGATTTTTTTATTAAAATATGTTTAGAAGACTTGCAATTAAACTTTAAATACTTTTAACAAAAACCCCTTTAAATCATTAATATAATATTTAAATAAAGGATAAAATCATATATTTTAACGAATTAGATTTATTCAGTCAATCAATTAAATGTTAGATTATAATTAAATTAAATATATTTTAATAAAAAAAAAATTTTATTATTATTTTTATATAATTACAGCTTATAATATTAGTTATCTTTGGTATGACTAATCCAAGATGACTTTAATTAGGAAATGTGGATGCAAAAATATCAGATTGAATTGTGCTATAAGTGATTTAAAATATTTTTAAGCTAATAATTATGGAGAAAGACCAAATTATGTCATAAAATTTAATAATATTTAAATACAATTTTAAGGTTTATTTAATAAAAGTAAACCAATTATATATATTTTAAAAAGTTAAAATATGAAAAAAATAAACTATATTAACAAAATAATTCATAAAATCAGATTCAAAAACATCAAAAAGTCGTTTGCTTCTTTAAAACAATGTTGATTAAAAGAAAATACAACATTTTATTTTATAAGCCAAGATCATAATGAATTAAAATTAAACACTTCATATAATCATGAAACTTACCCTAGAAATTGTATTAATCTTTATATAAAACTTGTTTTTATTTTTAAACTTATTTTAGTATCACATTTTGTATTTCGTAAAAAGTCTAAGTTAACAATTTTTTAACTAATAAAAATGGGCCACAAATTATAATAAAAAGAAATCATTCAAATCAGTTATTTTTTGAGTACTTTGAATATCTGAATATATTACTGATAATATACTGTTTTCATATGTTAGTAATTAATTTTATTGACAATACATTATCAGAAAATCTTAAAATAATAGCCAATACATTGTATAATTGATTCAAAACTTATCTGAAACTACCATTAAAAGATATAATAAATAAAATTCTTGAACCCTTCTATCTTAATTAATTGAAAATTTCTTTATTAATAACTCTGATTTAGTAAGAAATTTGTAAACTATGTTTTGAAAATAAAGTCAAAAAGATATCCAATCAAGTTATTATACTTAAAGTTCGACTTGAAGATTTGTAAAAATAAAATAATTCCCTTACTAAATACTAAGAATTGATTCATTTTATTATAAAAATATTTGGTATTGCTTCCAAAAAATAGTATGACCCTAATTAGATATGCTCCATTTGATAGTAACAAAGAAATAAGTTGTAGTAATTCAAACAAAAAAAGAAATTAATTTAATATTAAATTTTGGAAGTAATTTTTTTAAGTACTAAATTCAGATATACTTGAAATATAGTAAAATGTTGGGTTTTCTTATTTTTCAGGCTTAAAAAGGTTATAAAAAGTATCAATTCATAAAAATTTAGATCTTGATTTTAATTTTATTAATAGTCTTTCGGATGATCCTTTTATTTAAGAAAAAATGATTAATTTAAAATTAAATAATAATTTGGTATTATTTAAGAGTAGATTTATTAAAGTCTAAATTAAAAGGGGAAATTACATTCTATAATGGATAGAAAATTAATAATTATAATGTTTATTAATTTAATAATTGTCAGTTTTTAAATATGGTAATTTACAAGAAATAACCCTTAATTATATAGTTTTTAAGTCATAAATATAGAATTCTATAGTTTTTTTTAAAGAACAAATCTAATTAAGCTGTAAATCTTGGCTGTTAAGATTGTGATGGTCCAAACCTATCAAGATTTTTGTCTTGTACATAATAATCAAATTAAATCCATCTTCCAGAAAATAAAGTATGTATCTATCCATATAATACAATTGAAAATGAAAATTAATGCAAATGATCTTAGAGAAAAGAAAAAAATGTAAATACGGATATTTCGAGTTTGATCGAGATTTTTATTAAAAGTAAATTATCATGAAATATTTAGTTCTTCAAGAATTGAGGAATTGAGGACAGTATTTGCATTTAAAAAAATTCCAATTATTTTGAAGATTTTAAAAAGTTAGTAAAAATTCTAGCTTATTTTTGAAAAACAAAACAATTATTTCCTATAAAATTCAAATATTTAACTAAACAAATTATTAAATAATTGAATTAAACATTAATATTTCCTTAAAATTTAATGAAAAATTTAAAGGTCTTTATGTAAATGAAGGAAAAACTCACCATTTACTTAAGTATGATGAAACTAATCTTAAAAAAAAGTAGAATTTAATAGATTGATCATAGAAAAAACATAATAATAAACTTTTCAACGCATTTATAATTTATTAATATTATAAAAAATCAATTTACTTTCATGCTGTCATAAATATGTTATGATCGATTTCTTTTAATAAGGTTGGTTTAAATAGTTTTAAAAGATTATTAATGAATCTTTTTAACTTTTTATATTTTTATAATAGAAATATCCATTGTTGAATAGCATCTAAAATTAATTATATTAATAAAATAGCAGTGATACATGCAATGCAACCCCATCCTAAATAATCTTTCATATCTTCTGTCAATATTCTTAATTATTCATTCAAACTTAATATCAATAATAATAATAATGTTATAGTAATATTAAGTTCACAGCTAAATTGTTTTATGAATTCTTTAGAATCAGTAAGTGGTTTAAAAGATAGTAAGAAATAAGCTTGTACAGAAGTAAAGATAATTAAATTTATTATCTAAACAGATGGAGCTTCATAACAAAATATTAAAGTTAACATAAAAAATAGTTTCTTAATCAGCAGGATGGAATTAAAATATTTGCCTACATTATTCTTCTTAATACCCTCAAATAATGTTCCATATTTGAGGTTATTTTGATAATTTGTAAATGCATATTTATCTTAACTACTGAGCTTAATTATATGAAAAATAATAAATAAGTAGAAGAGAAATGTTAATAATGCAAGTATTGAGGATAATCTTATTAAAATATTCTATGACATTATGTCTAATGAATACAATTAAAGGACTATAGCAAAAGTGAAATCATAAGCAGTTGTAATCAAAACTCTATATATTCCACTGCAAAAGAATTCTCGTAATACTTTTAGACAAAAACTTGTTATAGATATTTTCATAGCTAAAATTAGGTATTTAATTTTAAGGATCAAGCTGGGTTTTTTATTTGGGATATCATCATAGTATTTAAAATCTAGTCGGTGTAAATAATATGGAATCTTTTTTGAAACTATGTATATCAGAATTAAAGTAAACCATATGAAAATAACTGATGCACTGTTTATTATAAACAGAGGTGTTAAATTATCTTATTTGATTTTGAGTGGAATATTGTTAACATTTTCATCAATCAGAGATAAGTTAAAGAGGTCATAAAAATTGAAATATTTTTAAATGAAATTCATTTGTACAAATTCAAAGCAATTAAAAAACTCTTATAAATTAAAAGGAAATTAAGAATTAATATACTTTAAATATGACAATATTTGTATTGTATCTAGAAGATTATAAAAGATATCTAACCCTCCAAATAAAAGAGCAGTTCCACTCATTGTTCCAATAGCATACAGAATATATTAATTGCTTGAAGAAGCCATTTCAACCTATTCAACTGTAGTTACATCAACAAAAATAATATCAGCAATTTTGGTTGTTACTATCTATTACTATTATTGATAACCATTGTTAGATTTAAAATGAGAAAGGTTGGTAAAGCTAATTTTGAGTTCTTAGTTCTTTATGCTTTAATTAAATGATATCAAAAAATTAACAGTTAAGTTGAGTTAGGATGAATTAATCCTATTCATATCAGAAGAGATGTCACATTATTATTTTATGTTTATTTCTTCCTAACCATTCAGAATGATTACTTCAACATCCTTATTAAAATCTATATCATTGTTAAATTCTATAAGTATGTTATATGATAATTAAAATAATCTAATATTATTGTATATAGAGTGATCACCTGCTTATATTAGAATTGGAATTGGTAATTCAGGTTTGATACAAACTGAACCTTTACAAATAAATTATTTTTCTAATCTGCATGAGCGATCACAACCATCTCCATTTAATATATTACTGTCATCGCATTCTTCATCAACACTCATTATTCCATCTCCACATTTAGAATAACATGTGTTCTTTTCAAAATTAGAGTATAAACCAACAATATCTTCACATTTTAAACATTATCCTTAAATATTTTATTTAAATCGGCATGAAGTGCAGTTAGATGCACTATTTATACATTATAGACATTATTGAGCACATTTAACACAGACTGATTATTGAATGAAGTATCCTTACTCACATTTAGTACAAATAGTTGAATTTAATGTATTACTAAAATCACATTAATTGCAATTATCACTACATTTAAAACAAATTGAAGATTCAAGTATTTTATTGATACATTTGTAATTAGGATCTATTTTACAATTAGTACATCCATCTCTTTCAATTGTATTTCCATCATCGCAATCTTCTCCATATGTCCATTGTTTATCAGTACAATCTTTATATTTGCAATCTTCCTTGCTTTTACCTTCAATTGAATCACATGATAAACATTCATTATTTTCAGATTCAAAATACTCAGAATTACAGATACAATCATTATTTTATAAAATTCTATTCTATTCAATAAAGCAATTTGTGCATTCAGCTTATGAAGTGCATGATTTGCATCTGAAATTGCATTCTAAACATTAGTTTTAATTAGATAAATAATACCCTTATTAACAGACACAAGAATCATTTTCAAGAATAATATGTTAGATCTAAGAACATTATGTACAAATTTATTGGGAAATGCAAATTTCACATGGAAATTAGCATTGAAAACAATCAACATTATCTCTGTAATATCCTTATTTGCAAATGCATTTATTATCAACTAAATCAAATGTCTTTATACAAGAAGTACAATTATCTGATTAATTTACACATGTTTTACAATCTGGAATACACTCTTTACATTGATTATCAACAAAGAAATATCCATCTTAGCATTAATCACAAGATTAATAATCTTAACATAGTTTACAATTTTCAATGCAATTCAGACATTATTAAGCATCGTTTAGGTAATATTATTCTTAACATTCAGTACAATTTTCTTATGAATAGCAGCTAATACAACCAACTTTGCATAATTAACATTTAAAATCTTCATTATAATAGGATCCAATTTGACACTAGCATTCGTTTTGAATATAAATTAAATTTGTGTTTGAACATTTAAGACATTTATTAGAAGCATCTACACAAGTTTAACATTGAGGAGAACATTTTAGACATAAATTTTCACTAAAATAATATCCATCTCTACAATTACATAAATTTTATTCTAAAATATATTTAGTATTATCAACACAAGATAGACAATGATTAGCACTGATTGTACAATTTAGACATGGTGTTTAACATTCTTGACATGAATAATTGTTCATATAATATCCATTTTAACATTAACATTAATTGTTGATTAATATCTGATTTGTATCTAAACATGTCAAACATCCATATTGGTCACAAGTTGCACATAATGGTTAACAAGGAGTGCAGGAACTTAAGGAATCAGCATAAAAGGAATCTTTGCATATGCAATTGAAATTTTCATTAAGAATATGATTATCATCATTACAAGAATCACAATGATTCTAAGTTACTGAACAAGTTTAACAAGGTAATTAACATTTAATACAATTGTTATTCTAATCACTTATCCATCCTTAATCACATTTACATTCGCCATTTTCAATTATATGATGAATATCTTAACATAATGTACAAGTCTCAGTAGTTGTTTAACATTTAGTACATGGAGGAACACATAACTCACATGAATTACCAATCAGAACATATCCATCTTTGCATATACATTAATTTAATTCATTTATAAGTTAATGTTCATCAATACAAGATAAACAAAAAGTTGATGAATTTTTACAAGTTTTACAAGTTCCAATACACAATTCACATTTCGATGGATTATAATTTAAGTCTTCATAATATCCATCCAAACAATAACAAATCTTAGTTGTGTTATTGATATTGAATGTAGAAGCACATTCTAAACATGAATTAGAATCTATATGACATTTAATACATGGATGACTACATTATTAACATTGAAATGATTCATCCATGAAATATCCATCTTAACAATTACATTATGGCAAAATTTGTATGAGTTAATCATTACAAGATAGACAAGTATTCTCTGAAGAACAATTTTTACATGGTAATTTACATGGTTTGCATGATTCATCTTCAAAATAACTATCATCACAAATACAAGTTTAATTATTTAAATGTCTATTTAATCCAGTTATACAAGATTGACAATTTGTTGATGAACCTGAACATGTATAACAAGGACTTAAGCAACCAAAACAACTTTTTGGATTTGTATCAGCTTCAAATTCATTGATTTAACATGAACAACTATTTGAAATTAATGTATAAGTTAGTGAACATGATAAACAAGTAGAAGTAGTTGTTTCACAAGTTAAACATGGAAATTAGCATTAGTCACACATAAATGTTTAAGTATTTAAAAAATATCCATTCTCACATTAGCAAGTAGGTGTTGATTAATGTAAATTATCAATACATGAGACACATGTTGTTATTGTTGTATTACATTCATAACAAGGTTTAGTACAGGGAATACATGTATGATTATTTAATATGTGAGTTGAAATGCAAGAATCACAAGATGTTACTGTGCTACAGTTTATACAAGGTGATTAACAATCTAAACAAAAATATGTTGAAGTATCTAAATATTTTGTTGGTAATTAACAATCACAAGTTGGTATTGATTAATTACTTAAATCAATACAATTTGTACAATTGTCTTCACTATCCTAACAAGTTAGACAAGCTCTAAAACATTTTGAACAAGTAGTTGATCCTGATTTTATATAATACCCACTTGCACATTCACTACAAATAGTGTCTGAAGTGCATTTAGTACAAAAAGATGGACAAGGTTTGCATACGTTTTCATCTGAACAAAAACTCATAAAACAGCTTTGTTCTTTTGTGTAATAGTATCCATCAAAACATTTCTAACAACTTGATGAATTAGAACATGTTTCACAATTTTCAAAGCAGTCTCGACATCCACCCATCATCCCAGATTAGTAGTATTAATGTAATCCGCATGATGAAGTAGCTATGTCATACATACTATAAATTACCTACTAAATGAAAGGAAGAGTAAACAATAAGAAATTGGAGAATATTCTTTGTTAACATTTTGCGTATAATTAAAATTTTAAAAATCTTTCTAAAAACATTTTAAAATTGTCACTGTGATATTTATAGATTTTAATAATAGTTTTTAAAAATATATGAGGTGTCTTCCTTTATCATAAAATAAAATCAGAAATTTAGAGTTCATGGTGTTAAAACAGTGATTATAGGGTAAAAATAAGCACAAAGAAAACAATATTTCAAACTTTTCATATCATAAATAAGTATGATAAAGAAGAGTATTGAAAGAATATAAAAAACAATTTTTAGCTAAAAGGATAGGTTAATTTATCTAAATTAGTCAAATTTCTTGATTCTTCGCCCTTTAAATTGGGATCAAAGATATTTCTTCAAAAAAAAATGAGATGTGATTCTCTAAAATATCAATAATAAATTAGTATGTTTATAAAAATGAATAGTCATATGATCATAAGTTCTAGCGTTTGAGAATGAAAACTAAGTAATATAAGTGAACTATTAGGAATTGTTGTAATCACCTATCTAAATTTTGATAATATTTCCTTATTATTTAATAATAAGTTAACATAAAGCACCTGAAGATCAAATATACCCATAATAGTATTAGCAGATAAGAGAATTGAAGATAATTTAAAGTGAGGGAATTTTTTATTTTTTTTAAATAGATGCCCCTATTTAAGAGGTTTTTATGAATATTTTGTTGAAAAAATTGAGATTGACAAGATAGTTACTTTTTAATTACAAAGACTTACAATTAACTTTATGAATCACTTGCTAAATGTCACTTAATAAATATACTAAATCAATAAATATTTTATGATATGAAAAACTAAAAATGATTACATTTAAGATGCTAACTCACTCTCACCGATAGTAAAGATGAAGGAGTTCAAAAATTTCATTTATATCACAATTTATAAACAAATTGAATTTCAACTCACAACAACATAATAAATAAGATTAAAAATGTTTATAAAAAATTTAGAATTTTGAATTATAATTACGAAATTTCTATTTTTATTTTATTTATTAAAATATAGTTGTGATAATTCATAACTATTAAATAAATTTCCTTTATTTTCAATTATATAATTTGTTACTATAATGAAAAAAAAAATTTATTCATCAATTGAATAAATTTGATTTAATTAACATAATAATTTATAAAATATATGAAAGTTATGATGATATTTTTTGGTTGGGTTAATTTAATTGTAAATTCAAATCATTAAACCTAATGTAGAACTCTAATAATATAACCAAATAAAACTTATCATTCAAATCATATTAATTGTTATTTGTTGGAAAACGAAGAGAATGATTATTCAGACATTAATCACATTGATTAAGAAATAGTTTAAAAATCATTCATAATTCCTTATCAAGAAAAACCAATAAAAATTTTAATTATCAATCCTTTAGAATATAGAAAATTATTTGAAAAACTATTTTGTTATTTATATTTCAATTAGAAATATATTATCAGATGTATTAGTATAGAATCGATTTATTTTGGGGAAAAGAATAGTCAAATTGAGAAAATCAAAATAATAACAAATATTGATTCTTCAGAAATATGTGATGAAATCTATGAACAAGAAGATTTAGGATTTCTGATAACTTGTTAGTCCAATACAACATTATAAGTATATTCAATAAGCTTCAAAGGTGATGTTAATCTTTTATTTTAATATGATGTTTTTAATCAAATTTAGGATAGATGTTAAAAATAATAAATATTACTACCAGATTTTACAATCATCTTCATGTATTATTAATGCTCTTCTTGGAAGATATTATAATATCATGATTATAAAATAATTATTCTCTTGGAAGCAAATTAAGGTCCATTTTAAACAGTGTAATTTGTATATGATATACAATTTTGTTAATCTTCTGAGAACTATTTCATTTATTTAATAGTTGAAAATAAGTACTTTCATTTTATTATTGATTCCTCTGGTCACATTTTACACCAATACTCTATGGTGAGTGAAAGAATAATTACCAAACTAATAATGATATAATCTTGCTCTCAAATCATTTTGATTACTAAATATCAAGAATATTATCCTTAAGTTGAGGAACTTTTACTTTAAGAAATAAGTTTACAATAAACCTACTTAACCAGCAATATCCATTATTATTTAAATTTACTTTTCCTTTAAAATAACAATCAATTAACTGTAATACCACATTTTCAAATCAATAAAACCTNAATTTGTTACTATAATGAAAAAAAAAATTTATTCATCAATTGAATAAATTTGATTTAATTAACATAATAATTTATAAAATATATGAAAGTTATGATGATATTTTTTGGTTGGGTTAATTTAATTGTAAATTCAAATCATTAAACCTAATGTAGAACTCTAATAATATAACCAAATAAAACTTATCATTCAAATCATATTAATTGTTATTTGTTGGAAAACGAAGAGAATGATTATTCAGACATTAATCACATTGATTAAGAAATAGTTTAAAAATCATTCATAATTCCTTATCAAGAAAAACCAATAAAAATTTTAATTATCAATCCTTTAGAATATAGAAAATTATTTGAAAAACTATTTTGTTATTTATATTTCAATTAGAAATATATTATCAGATGTATTAGTATAGAATCGATTTATTTTGGGGAAAAGAATAGTCAAATTGAGAAAATCAAAATAATAACAAATATTGATTCTTCAGAAATATGTGATGAAATCTATGAACAAGAAGATTTAGGATTTCTGATAACTTGTTAGTCCAATACAACATTATAAGTATATTCAATAAGCTTCAAAGGTGATGTTAATCTTTTATTTTAATATGATGTTTTTAATCAAATTTAGGATAGATGTTAAAAATAATAAATATTACTACCAGATTTTACAATCATCTTCATGTATTATTAATGCTCTTCTTGGAAGATATTATAATATCATGATTATAAAATAATTATTCTCTTGGAAGCAAATTAAGGTCCATTTTAAACAGTGTAATTTGTATATGATATACAATTTTGTTAATCTTCTGAGAACTATTTCATTTATTTAATAGTTGAAAATAAGTACTTTCATTTTATTATTGATTCCTCTGGTCACATTTTACACCAATACTCTATGGTGAGTGAAAGAATAATTACCAAACTAATAATGATATAATCTTGCTCTCAAATCATTTTGATTACTAAATATCAAGAATATTATCCTTAAGTTGAGGAACTTTTACTTTAAGAAATAAGTTTACAATAAACCTACTTAACCAGCAATATCCATTATTATTTAAATTTACTTTTCCTTTAAAATAACAATCAATTAACTGTAATACCACATTTTCAAATCAATAAAACCTATGTGATCTATAACACTTCAATAAATTTTTTATAATCTTATAATTTATTCTACTAAATTGATCAAAAAAATTAAATCATATAATTTTATAGATACTATAAGATACATAATTACATCAAACCAAAACTTAAATATATATTTATCTTGAAAAAGAATAATTTCACTAATTTATCATTAATCGAGTGTTTTAAAATACAGTATTAAAATGTAGAAGAGATCAAAATCAATAAATATTAAATTCATATATCAATTCCTTGTGAATTAAATTTCTTTTCTGAATTGATTTATTAAGAAATTGTTTCTATTAAAAAAAATTCCATTTAATTAATAAATGAAGGAATTAATAATACTGTTAGTATCTGGAATGATGAAAAATTTGATCACAAATGTTTCGATACGTCAATTATGAAGAAATTTGAAGGTAAGATAAAATATCGGTTTATAAGAAAAGAACAGTTTTTTATTTTTGAAGATAGTTTATTCATCTATTTCTTTGATTGCCAACAAAATAAGATTTTACTGAAAGCTAATATCACTGTGAGCTCAGTATTTGAATCTAATGAAAAGTTTTACATTTATGAAAAAACAAGTAACATCTTCAAAATTTTTTAATTAATGGGAGATCATATTAATTTTCATAAACTAAAGATTGATGGGAAAATTATGGAAGTTTAAGCATTTTATAATATCTTAGTTGTAAAAATTACAAACTAAAAATTACCTATTTTATTAAATATGGATAAAATAAAAATTAATTACATATCTAAAAATTTATTTTAGCCTGGAGATATACTTTTCTACTTAGAAGTAGGGTAAGCTAAATTTATTCAATATAAATATTTATTAGCATTTGAATTTCTTGGAACAGTTAAATGCTTTGAATTTACTGGAGTTTTAATCGTATAAATATTTAAACACTTAATTGGAGAATACTAAATTTTAGCAATACAGAAGACAACGGAGTAATTATTCTATTATTATTTTGATTAATTTGATATACTTCCAATATCAAATTACACTTTAACAAATTATTCTATTTTATATCCAATAAAGTATCTTAGTTCATTTCAGCAATTTATTGTGTTATTAGAAAATAATAATTCTAATTATGTTGCAATATTTAATGTTAGTTATAATAAAATTATTTTAAATGAAATTATTTAAACGGGCGATTCTTTTATTAGTTATTTTAACAACAGTCTCTTATATAATGATGCTAATCAAGATTTAAGACAAAAAAATTTTAAGAAGATATTCATAGCAATAAGATCATAGGCAGTTATTTAAAATAAATTTTTATTATATTATTAATTTTAGGTAAACTCAATGACTCTAGCTGAAATTTACGAATTTGAGCTTTTAATACAGAATGATTGCAAACATTTATAATCTTATACAAACAAAACTTAAATCAAACTTAAACAAGGTTAAAATCTTTGCTTAAAAATCTCTGACTATTTCTATGGACCAGTAGATAGCCTATTAATTAAGGATGGTTCTTAAACTCATTTAAAAGGACCAATCTAATTAATTTAAAGAATTCTAGATTGCTCATCTTAAAATTTTTAGTATTGTTTTAAAGAATATCACTTACTGAACGAAAATTCAAAAATAGAACCAAATAAATTCAAAGTTTTAATAGTAGATAGTTTAATAATATTATAGTAGCAAAAATATGATACTTTATAATTTTTTTATAAAATCTTTTGGCTAAAAGGCAATTTATATGTGTTATTAAAACAATAATCTGATGAGTTAGAACTCTAATTAATAATTTTAGAGTAAGAGGTTTTGATTTATATTTCAAATTTGATTGTAAATTTTCCAAAAAATCTTAAAAATATTGAATTATTTAAAACAGGTAATATACTTTCAATCAACTTCAATTAAACATTTTTTTTTATCTCTAATTTAACTATTAATTAAATATATCTTCCTGATTAAGTATTAGAAATTTCTTAAATAGAAAATGTAACTGATCTGTATATAGTAGTAAAAGTGCCTTTTGCATTTGATTAAAATATGGAGCTAATTATTTACAGAATTATTAATTTCAATGATATAAAAGTAATATATACTTAGATAATCACTCAAGAAATGAATGCTTTGTTTAGCGAGGCATTAGAATCCATTTATTAAATCTAATATATTAAATTCCGTTAATGTATTAAAAGAGCCAACTTGATATTTTTAAATCTTCTAGTTATTTTTAAAAATTACTCTTTTGTAACTTATTTACAAATCAATATTGAGGATCAATGTATTGAAAAATTTGAAATCTTGCAGTATATTAGGAATCATGGAGAATATAATAATATGAATAACGATTTCTTGGTTTAAAATTAATAATAAAACCCTGCTGCTTATGTATTTTATGATTTAAGAGAAGATTAAAAATACAAGGATTATATATTTAGAACTACTCACTAAATTCAAATATAAATTTTAAATACTACCCATTATATTTTTATCAATTAGTCAGAATATTATTTAGGAAAATTTGGGTATGAAATCGAATTTGGAAATTCTGATCAAATCATTTAAAATATAATAATAGAGGCTCAAAATTAAGTATCATCTATTGAATTATAAATGTAAATAACAGTGGATATAAATAATTCAAAATTTATTCATTCAATTTTTATTATTTAATTACTAAATCTTTCATTTATTGGAGCTTACATTAATAGATATAAGAAAAAAAAAAATAATGTAAAATAAACCTAAAGTTTAGAGTACTTTTGAAATATTTTATAAACATTTAAATACCGTCAATTATAATTATATGATAATTTATAT